GGGGAGAGGGGGGGATTTAAAATTTTGGGGGAAACAAAAACAAAAAGGGAATTGACGCAGTTACTTTTTTCTGATGATACTGTGGCTTATGGGAGATTCTAAAGAAAAATTGCAAAGGTTAGTGGATGAGTTTGGGAATGTGTGTAAAGGTAGAAAGTTGAAAGTGAACATAGAAAAGAGTAAGGTGATGAGGGTGTCAAATGATTTTGATAAAGAAAAAGTGGATATCAAATTGGGGAGGAGGAGTATGGAAGAAGTGAATGTTTTCAGATACTTGGGAGTTGACGTGTCGGCGGATGGATTTATGAAGGATGAGGTTAATCATAGAATTGATGAGGGAAAAAAGTAGTGAGTGGTGCGTTGAGGTATATGTGGAGTCAAAAAACGTTATCTATGGAGGCAAAGAAGGGAATGTATGAAAGTATAGTAGTACCAACACTCTTATATGGATGTGAAGCTTGGGTGGTAAATGCAGCAGCGAGGAGACGGTTGGAGGCAGTGGAGATGTCCTGTCTAAGGGCAATGTGTGGTGTAAATATTATGCAGAAAATTCGGAGTGTGGAAATTAGGAGAAGGTGTGGAGTTAATAAAAGCATTGGTCAGAGGGCAGAAGAGGGGTTGTTGAGGTGGTTTGGTCATTTAGAGAGAATGGATCAAAGTAGAATGACATGGAAAGCATTAAATCTATAGGGGAAGGAAAGGAGGGGTAGGGGTTGTCCTTGAAAAGGTTGGAGAGAGGGGGGTAAAGGAGGTTTTGTGGGCGAGGGGCTTGGACTTTCAGCAAGCGTGCGTGAGCGTGTTAGACAGGAGTGAATGGAGACGAATGATACTTGGGACTGACGATCTGTTGGAGTGTGAGAGGGTAATATTTAGTGAAGGGATTCAGGGAAAACTGGTTATTTTCATATAGTTGGACTTGAGTCCTGGAAATGGGAAAGTACAATGCCTGCACTTTAAAGGAGGGGTTTGGGATATTGGCAGTTTGGAGGGATATGTTGTGTTTCTTTATACGTATATGCTTTCTAAACTGTTGTATTCTGAGCACTCTGAAAAAACAGTGATAATGTGTGAGTGTGGTGAAAGTGTTGAATGATGATGAAAGTATTTTCTTTTTTGGGGATTTTCTTTCTTTTTTGGGTCACCCTGCCTCGGTGGGAGACGGCTGACTTGTTGAAAAAAAAAAAAATGCACGTTAGTCGGACTTGAGTCCTGGAAATGGGAAGTACAGTACCTGCACTTTAACCACTTAACTGTTCAAATGTAGATCTGTGTTGTTACTGCTAGTGCTCCAAACGTAGATCAGTGTTTTATTTTTCCTGCCTCCAAGTTTGGCACAATTGGCCTGAGATGCCTGGTCAGTATAGAATGGGTCTTAACACTCGGTGTGTGCAGTATTAAAAAAAATTTGGGACCACTTAGTACCTTGTGGGAGCACCAGTTCAATTGAGTGCCAGCTAGAGCAAACAGTGCGGCAAACACCAGGGATTCACTGATGTCATGTTGTATTAACACTCCCCTTTTAACACTTTAAACTGTCCAAAAGATCTATGTTCACATGCGTAGTGCTCCAAAAGTAGATCTACGTTTTTTTACATATTTTCAAATACAACAAAAAAAAATGTAGATCAAAGTTTTTTTACACATCAAATGTAAAAAAACAAAAAGAAGATCTACGTTTTTTTACATACAGTGGACCCCCGGTTAACGATATTTTTTTCACTCCAGAAGTATGTTCAGGTGCCAGTACTGACCGAATTTGTTCCCATAAGAAATATTGTGAAGTAGATTAGTCCATTTCAGACCCCCAAACATACACGTACAAACGCACTTACATAAATACACTTACATAATTGGTCACATTCGGAGGTAATCGTTATGCGGGGGTCCACTGTATTTTCAAATGTTGAAAAAACGTAGATCTACATTTGGACAGTTTAAGGGTTCAGAGGAAAGTGATGTTGACCCTGAGTTTAGTGGCTTTGAGGTGGATGTGGCCACAAGTGGCCGAGGAAATATAAAAAAAACCTTGATAATAACATTTGTGCACATCCTTTCAGTTTTGATACCACTGGTAGTGATATCCATCAGAATGTCCTTTAACCTATGCCCTAAGTAAAGAGAAACAATTCTGGAACATGTAATACGTGTTGAGCAGGCCAGGGCTGGCTGGCTAGCTGGCTGGCTGGCCGGCTGTTGGGTGGGTGGCTGGCTGATTGACTTTGGCTGTCTCTATCTCCGTTTGTCTGTCTGTATCTATCTCTGTCTCACAGGTACACATAAGTACAGTTTTTATACATAGTGTAAATTACCTAGGATAATCCAAGAAATTCAGACAAAGTGCTATACTCTGCATACTACGCATTTTGACTTGTTAAGGAATCAGACGTGACAACTCTGCATCGTGTGTAATACCTGTTGGTTCATGAGTGGCTCTCTCTCTGAGACAGAAAGAGAGACAATCAGACAGACATGTTTATGTGTAACAGTGAAAACAAAGCCAAGGCAGTGCATGATCATCAGATGTCATTGCACTGCTGCAATGTCAGCAATGGAGTGACACTCATCTTACACCATGCTTCAAGGAGTTTCATATATACTCCAGCATGTCTGAAACATTGCTGGGACCTATAAATACTTTGTATATATTTTTAGACAGTAGTTGATGACCAAGGTAGGTGAAAATGTTCACCTGTCAGTGTGTTTGTAACTGAGTACTATTTCAGTACCTAATATTAGTGTTAGAACAAACATTGGCTATGAAATTACAACTACTACAAATTGTAGATATCAGAACATAAAAATTATATAATTTAAAAAAAAAAGGTATATTGGCAACATTTCTGCAAGTGGCAGGGCTTCATGTTACCGTCACGTGAGCATCCAGTGCCAACTTCGCGGCCTTATATCTCGGTAAGTACTGACCCTAAAAAATTGTTTTTATCCTATTTACATGTAGAAAAATGTCCTCTTTATTTTAACCATTTCAGGGTTGGTGCCATACTAGTATGGCTTGCACGCCAGGGTTGGTGCCATACTAGTACGCATAAATGCTAGCGCCTTCAAATCTGGCGAGAGAAAGCTGGTAGGCCTAAATATGAAACCCCTTTCAGGGTTGGTGCCATACTAGTATGGCTTGCACGCCAGGGTTGGTGTCGTACTAGTACGCATAAATGCTAGCGCCTTCAAATCTGGCGAGAGAAAGCTGGTAGGCCTAAATATGAAGCCCCTTTCAGGGGTTGGTGCCATACTAGTACGGCTTGCACGCTAGGGTTGGTGCCATACTAGTACGCGTAAATTCTAGCGCCTTCAAATCTAGCGAGAGAAAGCTGGTAGGCCTTCGTATGAAAGAATGGGTCTATGTGGTCAGTGTGCACATATAAAAAAAATCCTGCAGTACGCAGTGCATAATGAGAAAAAAACAACTCCTACCGTGTTTTTGGTTTAAAACGGCGATTTTGCAGTGTATTTTTGTATGGTATTTATGGTTGTATTCTAGTTTACCTGGTCTCATTTTATAGAATGGAAGACATATTACAGAAATTGAGATGATTTTGATTGGTTTCACAATGAAAAGTAACTTGATATTGAGCTCAAAGTAGCAGAAATGTTCGATATTTGCCAAAGTTCAACAGTAAACAAATCATGCCAAGCGTCCAATACACATCAACTGGTGAGTCTAATATTCTTTTACAAGTGCACTGATATTATTTATACATTTCTACGCTAATGCAGTAGTCTGCATAACAGTTAATCTTCTATTTTTTCGTGAGAATAAAAATTCAAAGTGGGAAGCAACAGAAATATAAGAGGGGCCTGGGGACGTGACTAATGAACAGAGAAAATGTTATTTTAGTGGCAGGAATGTCTTTCTTGTTTATTCTGGGCTCTATTTGGAAATTGGCATCTTCTGAAATTTGTGTGAAATTGGCAAAATTGCCAATTTCTAACTGCTTTAATGGATTGTTGAAATTGGTAAATGGGTGGTTTCTTGTACTCATTCGATAGCAAGAGTGGGGTTCTAGCTAAATAGTTATTATTTTTGTCGACTGGTACATAGGAATTGGCCGAAAATAGGGCTCAAAGTGGGCAAAATTGCCGATGCGTAAACATCGTTGAGACCACTAATTTTGCGAGAGCATAATTCTCTAAGTTTTCCATCAAATTTCTTACTTTTGGTGTTATAATGATTGGAAAAAGATTCTCTATCATTTCATAAGAAAAAAATAATTTTTTTTTAAATTTCTGACCCTGAGAACAAGTTTAGGAGAGGCCGTCTTGACCCTGAAAGGGTTAATAAAAAACTTTTTTTTTTTTTTTTTTTTTTGTTTTTTTCAAAATATTTGGAGCACTGGGCGAGAGAACATAGATCTACATATGGACAGTTAAGGGGTTAAAACACTTGAAATTTTGGAAAGCTTCCTGGCAAAATTGAGAAATGCAGAGCTCACAGGAGATTTAAGGAAACAGATCAGCGTACAGACACCGTAATAGCGAACCAGGGATGGATCCATGTGAATGAATTTTGGTCATAATTTGTAGTGTCAGTATTAGTGAATCGCCAAGGAGTGGGACCCTCCAGTACTAGTTTTCAAACAGAATTGTCAATATGCGGAACAATCTGCGAAGTAAGGTGAGTGAAGCTAAAACCTTGGGTAGCTTTAACAAAAAATTGTAGCTTTGAGGAAAGGTTGGGTAACTGGGTGGGTGGGAATGGTTGGTTTTGAGAAGAACTTGCCTAGTGTGGGCCAGTAGGCCTGCTGCAGTGTTCCTCCTATCTTATATTTTTTTTTTACCTAATGTGAATTGATTGTTTATTTCAACGTTTCAAATAATTTTTTTTTTTTTTTTTTTTTTTTTTTTTACATAATTTCTTCTGCCTTCTGTTTTCAAAATATTGCAGTGTATACTCAAAAATATGATGTCATTGCTTATTTTAACATTTCAGACTTTTTTTTTTTGTTTGTTTTTTCTGGCATATTACAGTTTGTTCTGCATTCTAGACTCTGTTTGCATCGTCAACTCTTAACCTCTGCGAGCTGATTGGTCTTCGTCCGGACCTCGGGAAGCTGCGGAAGATTCTGTACTTCCACGAGAACCAGCTTGTGTATCCTGTGCGCAAGCAGAAGGACCGAGACTTCCAGTATGGATACAATCAGATACTCTCCTGGTGAGCACTGGTACTGTGGGCAGTGGTGTTATAGCATTAGTGTTGTAGCAGTGGTGTTATGAACAATGGTGTGATAGCAGTGGTGTTATGAAAAGTGGTGTGATAGCATTGGTGTTATGAACATTGGTGTCGTAGCATTGGTATTATAGCAATGGTGTTGTAGCAGTGGTTTATGAATAATGGTGCCATATCAGTGGTGTTATGAACAATGATGTCATAGCTGTGGTGTTATGAACAGTGGTGTGATGGCAGTGGTGTTATGAACAATGATGTCATAGCTGAGGTGTTATGAACAGTGGTGTTATGAACAATGGTGTTATGAACACTTCAGCTGACATATCTCTTAACTAACTTATTGGGTGGAATATCATGTGGAACAATCTTATTAATAATATTTGCTAGATTAGAGAAAAAACCCAATAAGCAATTGCCTAACTATGCTTGCATATTCATGGCCGTCCTAGGTAGTAGGTTGGCAGACAGCAACCGCCCAGGGAGCTACTACTGTCCTGCCAAGTGAGTGTAAAACAAAAACCTGTAATTGTTTTACATGATGGTAGGATTGCTGGTGCCTCTTTTTCTGTCTCATAAACATGCAAGATTTCAGGTACATCTTGCTACTTCTACTTAAACTTAGGTCACACTACACATGCATGTACAAGCATATATATATGCACCCCTCTGGGTTTTCTTCTATTTTCTTACTAGTTCTTGCTCTTATTTACTCTTATCTCCATGGGAAAGTGGAACAGAATTCTTCCTCCATAAGCCATGCGTGTCGTAAGAGGCGACTAAAATGCCGGGAGCAAGGGGCTAGTAACTCCTTCTCCTGTATACATTACTAAAGTTAAAAAGAGAAACTTTTGTTTTTCTTTTTGGGCCACCCTGTCTCAGTGGGATACAGTCGGTCCAAGTCGGACCGAAACGTCGTCGTAAGCTCCTCTCTTCTATGTGCGGGTTATTTGTGTATCATTCCAGTCACGGTATTGTGCCTTTTTTTTTGTTATTTATTGAGTTTCATAAGTTACATTGTGTGGTAACTTGAGCTTCATAAGTTACATTGTGTGGTAACTTGAGCTTCATAAGTTACAGTGTGTGGTAACTTGAGCTTCATAAGTTACATTGTGTGGTAACTTGAGCTTCATAAGTTACATTGTGTGGTAACTTGAGCTTCATAAGTTACATTGTGTGGTAACTTGAGCTTCATAAGTTACATTGTGTGGTAACTTGAGCTTCATAAGTTACATTGTGTGGTAACTTGAGCTTCATAAGTTACATTGTGTAGTAACTTGAGCTTCATAAGTTACATTGTGTAGTAACTTGAGCTTCATAAGTTACATTGTGTGGTAACTTGAGCTTCATAAGTTACATTGTGTGGTAACTTGAGCTTCATAAGTTACATTGTGTAGTAACTTGAGCTTCATAAGTTACATTGTGTGGTAACTTGAGCTTCATAAGTTACAGTGTGTGGTAACTTGAGCTTCATAAGTTACATTGTGTGGTAACTTGAGCTTCATAAGTTATAGTGTGTGGTAACATGAGCTTCATAAGTTACATTGTGTGGTAACTTGAGCTTCATAAGTTACATTGTGTGGTAACTTGAATTTTATAGCTGCAGTATCCCCTACTCCTGCTTTTTTCCCTCCATTGAATTTCGCACTTGTTCTTATCTGTTGTGCAAAGCCTCGTTTACTCTGTTGCAAAGTTGTTTAAAGTTCTCATTGGTTGTTGCACCACAGGAATTACAGACATACTTCACTTTCTGAAAAAATGCAGCATTTTTTTTCTCCCAACTCGAACAATTATGTTTACCTGGAGAGAGTTCTGGGGGTCAACGCCCCCGCGGCCCGGTCTGTGACCAGTGTATTTTTGCAAGTGCTTTTGTAAGTGTATTTTTGGGGGTCTGAAACGGACTAATCTAGTTTACGTTATTCCTTATGGGAATAAATTCGCCCAGTATCGGCACTCAAACAACCTTCTGGAACGAATTAAGTTCGTAACTCAAGGTACCACTATATCTGTATTATACTTAGATCAGTATCTAAAACAAAATCAGTTGGAAAGGTAATACACGACTAATATGGCGGGTTAGGTTCCAGACTGGCGCTGTAAAGCGAATATTGCCTTAAAGCGAATCACAGCCTTTATAAATGATAAATGCTGTATTAGCCAAGCACTTCAGAGCAAAGCACCGTATTAATGAAGCACTCTCAACCAAAGTGCCATATTAATGAAGCACTCTCAACCAAAGTGCCATATTAATGAAGCACTCTCAACCAAAGTGCCATATTAATGAAGCACTCTCAACCAAAGTGCCATATTAATGAAGCACTCTCAACCAAAGTGCCATATTAATGAAGCACTCTCAACCAAAGTGCCATATTAATGAAGCACTCTCAACCACAGTGCCATATTAATAAAGTGCTCTCAAGCAAAGTGCCATATTAACAAGGTGCGCCTCTACTGCTCTTTTACCCATTCCAGTGTTCAGCCACTGTTTATAAACTGTTGTAGTTTAGGTGTACGACATAGTGCACATTGTACATTAAGTGTTGGTTTGTGTTTGACAGTCTGGTGGCAGATGTGATCGTCTTCAACTCTCAGTACAACTTGGAGTCCTTCCTACGAGAACTTCCTCGACACCTCAAGCTACAACCTGACCACCGTGCTGATGCCCAGACCATTACCCAGGACATTAGGGAGAAGAGTGAGGTGAGTCATGACATTTACTGCTCTCATCACAATTATACGCTGGATGTATACAGTGGACCCCCGCATAACGATTACCTCCGAATGCGACCAATTATGTAAGTGTATTTATGTAAGTGCGTTTGTACGTGTATGTTTGGGGGTCTGAAATGGACTAATCTACTTCATAATATTTCTTATGGGAACAAATTCGGTCAGTACTGGCACCTGAACATACTTCTGGAGTAAAAAAATATCGGTAACCGGGGGTCCACTGTATTTTCGTAGTACAGTGGACCCCCGCTTTACGATCACCTCCCAATGCGACCAATTATGTAAATGTATTTATGTAAGTGCGTTTGTATGTGTATGTTTGGGGGTCTGAAATGGACTAATCTAATTCACAATATTCCTTATGGGAACAAATTCGTTCAGTACTGGCACCTGAACATACTTCTGGAATGAAATAATATCGTTAACCGGGGGTCCACTGTATATTGCACTGTATACATGGTACATGTATGTATAAACTTATTGGATCACACTGTACAACTTAATACTAGATGCTCCTCACTTTATGATGGTTTGACTAGGTGATAAATGTATTTTGACTTTACGATGGTACGATAGCAATGCTGTACATTTATTGATAGGCTAAACTTGTATTCATTTATTTTGTAATACTGGTATTAAGTTAGTTACAGTAATTATTTGTGTATTTACTTATTCAGTGACAGTAGTTATTTACTTGTTTATAATATATTTATTTTTTTATTTGTTAACACATCGTACGATTCCCACCAAGGCAGGGTGGCCCAAAGAAGAAAAACTTTCACCATCATTCACTCCATCACTGTCTTGCCAGAAGGGTGCTTTACACTACAGTTTTTAAACTGCAACATTAACACCCTTCCTTCAGAGTGTAGACACTGTACTTCCCATCTCCAGGACTCAAGTCCGGCCTGCCGGTTTCCCTGAACCCCTTCATAAATGTTACTTTGCTCGCACTCCAACAGCACATCAAGTATTAAAAACCATTTGTCTCTATTCACTCCTATCAAATACGCTTATGCACGCTTGCTGGAAGTCCAAGCCCCTTGCACACAAAACCTCCTTTACCCCCTCCCTCCAACCTTTTCTAGGCCGACCCCTACCCCGCCTTCCTTCCACTACAAACTGATACACTCTTGAAGTCATTCTGTTTTGATCCATTCTCTCTTCATATCCGAACCACCTCATTACCATCATTATTGTGTATAATATCATTATTACATTATACACAATTAAGAGGGTCGCCAATGTGTTTGTAAGTCAAGGACTTACTGTATATATATCAGTGTGAAGAGTGAGTGTTTCTGCCTCCTGCAGGTCATCTACTTCCCCGTGACCATCGCACACAAGACGCGGTGCCCCAAGGATGCACTGGAGCCGCTGCATATCATCTGGCCACACCGCTGGTAAGAGCTCTCACACCGCATGTTGTATTTCTCATTCTTTCTCTCCCTCCTCCAAGATGATATCATGACTTTTGTATTAATTTATCACATTTTTATTCTGTTGCATCCCCTTCCTTTTCTAACTACTATTTCTCTCTCTCCTTCCTCTTATCTCCTTATTCTTCCTCTCATCTTATTCAGTTAGGCTTATAAAATCTCTACTGCATGTACATTACTAATGTACTAAAGCTAACTTGGTGATCATGTACATTATTTATGTACTAAGATTAACTTAAGGATTATGTACATTATGTACTTAGACTAACTTAGGGATTATGTACATTACGTACGTACTAGACTAACTTAGGGATACACAAATAACCCACACATAAAAGAGAGAAGCTTACGACGATGTTTCGGTCCGACTTGGACCATTTACAAAGTCACCATTTATAAAGTCACAGTGTGACTTTGTAAATGGTCCAAGTTGGACTGAAACGTCGTCGTAAGCTTCTCTCTTTTATGTGCGGGTTATTTGTGTATCGTTCCAGTCACGGTATTGTGCCTTTTTTGTTACTTAGGGATTATGTACATTATTTATGTACTAAGACTAATTTAGGGATTATGTACTAACTTAGTGAGCATGTACATTATGTACTAAGACTAACTTGGGCACAGATGGTCTTCAACCCATGGCATGATTGGTAAAACATTTCTCGGAGACATTGTTTATTGGTCTGTTAAGATCCTAATTAAGCTAGAAATGTTGTGCTTAGTATAAGCTTGTTCCATAAAGTGAATCTTTTCAGTTCACTATTGTTAGTAGCAAGCCATTTAATTCTTAATTAATGCTAAGACTGTTAAGCTGCCTCAGCTTGCATCAAAGCACTTGCAATATTTATTGCAAAGTTGATTTGTGTGTGCACATGCATTCTGTGGCGATTTGAAAAATGTATATTAGACCCAACAGCTGGCGTGTATTAGACGTGTGAGGCCATTTGTTTACTCTTGAACATTGGCAAAAATTTAACATTTCTGCTACTTTGAGCTCAGTTTCAAACCATTTCCAATAGTAAAACAAATCAAAATCATCTCTTTTTCTGTAATATATCTTCCATTCTATCAAATGAGACCAAGAAATCATAAATACAACTATAAAAAAAAAACATAGAAACACTGCAAAGTCGCTGTTTTAATAAAAAATTACGGTGTCAGTTTTTTTTCTCTCATTATGCACTTTATGCTGCAGGATTTGTTTTATGTGGTGCACACATACCACATAGATGTATTCTCTCATATCTAGACCCAAATTTACCGCTCACAGCTTATCTGAGTGAGCTGAGCTCATGGCGTAGAACTACTGTTTGGACCCTCAACTCAAATCCGTAGAACTACAGCATGGACCCTGAAAGGGTTAATATAATGCATATAATAATAATACATCTTTCTTTCAACAACACCGGCCATATCCCACCAAGGCAGGGTGGCCCAAAAAGAAAAACGAAAGTTTCTCTTTTAAATTTAGTAATTTATACGGGAGAATGAGTTACTAGCCCCTTGCTCCCAGCATTTTAGTCACCTCTTACAACACGCATGGCTTACGGAGGAAGAATTCTGTTCCACTTCCCCCATGGAGATAAGAGGAAATAAACAAGAACAAGAACTACAAAGAAAATAGAAGAATACCCAGAGGGGTGTGTATATATATGCTTGTACATGTGTGTGTAGTGTGACCTAAGTGCAAGTAGAAGTAGCAAGACGTACCTGTAATCTTGCATGTTTATGAGACAGACAAAAGACACCAGCAATCCTACCATCATGTAAAACAATTACAGGTTTTCATTGTACACTCACTTGGCAGGACGGTAGTACCTCCCTGGGCGCTTGCTGTTTACCAACCTACTACCTAGGAATAATAATACATGTATAATAATAATTATCCTCCATGGGGAAGTGGAACAGAATTCTTCCTCCTTAAGCCATGCGTGTTGTAAGAGGCGACTAAAATGCCAGGAGCAAGGGGCTAGTAACCCCTTCTCCTGTATAAATTACTAAATTTATAAAGAGAAACTTTTGTTTATCTTTTTGGGCCACCCTGCCTTGGTGGGATACGGCTGGTGCGTTAAAAGAAGAAAGAAAAAAATAATTATAATAATAGACGGCTTCAAAAGGCCGTCACTAGATGGCAGTGTTTAGCACAAGAAAGTGGGAGCAGTTGTGGCCGCCACCACCTGTTACATAATGACATATTTTATTCTTTCTAGAGCATATATCAGGTTTCTATGTTATATATATTATGTCATATTAGATGAACTGTGATAGTTAAATAAGCCATATACGTAGTTGATATTAGCGACATTATTCAAGGAGCAATTTGTCTGGTTTCCAGACAAACTCTCGTCCGCTGACGATACCACTATATGAATGACATTTTATTCACTCTAGAGTATATATCAGGTTTCTGTATTATCTCTATTGTTTATTATGCCATATTAGATGAATTGTGATAGATAAATAAGCCATAGAGTTGATATTAGGGAAATTATTGAAGTACATAATTCCACTGGAATGGATTAACCCTTTGACTGTTTTGGCCATATATATACGTCTTACTAGGTAGTAGGTTGGTAGACAGCAACTGCCCAGGGAGGTACTACCGTCCTGCCAAGTGAGTGTAAAACAGAAACCTGTAATTGTTTTACATGATGGTAGGATTGCTGGTGTTTTTTTTCTGTCTCATAAACATGCAAGATTTCAGGTACATCTTGCTACTTCTACTTACATTTAGGGCACACTACACATATATGTACAAGCATATATATACATAACTCTCTGAGTTTTCTTTATTTTCCTTCTAGTTCTTGTTCTTGTTTATTTCCTCTTATCTCCATGGGGAAGTGGAACAGAATTCTTCCTCCGTAAGCCATGCGTGTTGTAAGAGGCGACTAAAATACCGGGAGCAAGGGGCTAGTAACCCCTTCTCCCGTATAAATTACTAAATTTAAAAAGAGAAACTTTTGTTTTTCTCTTTGGGCCACCCTGCCTCGGTGGGATACGGCCGGTTTGTTGAAAGAAGAAGATATACGTCTTACGCGCCACTGTTTCGGATGTATTTATACAAGTATATTCTAGCGGCTTTATATCAAGCAGGAGAAAGCTGGTAGGCCCACATGTGAGAGAATGGGTCTGTGTGGTCAGTGTGCACCACATAAAAAAAAAATCCTGCAGCACGCAGTGCATAGTGAGAAAAAAAAAACTGACCGTTTTTTTTTGGACTGAAATGCCAACTTTGAGGTGTATTTTCATACAGTATTTATCGTTGTATTCTCGTTTTCATGGTCTCACGTGATAAAATGGAAAACATATTACAGAAATAGAGATGATTTTGATTAGTTTCATGATGAAAACGACCTTGAAATTGAGCTCAAAGTAGCGGAAATGTTCAATTTTTACTAATGTTCAAGAGTAAGAAAATTACACCACACGTCCAATACACGTCAACTGGGGAGTCTAATATTCTTTCACTAGTGCACTGATATTATTTATACCATTTTTATAGTAATGCAGTAGTCTGCATAACAGTAAATTTTGTATTTTTTGTATGAATAAAAAATCAAAATAGAAAGCAATAGTAATACAAGAGAGGCCTAGAGACGTGACTAATGAACAGAGGATATGTTATTTTAGTGCCAAGAATGTCTACATTGTTTATTCTGGACCCTATTTTGAAATTGGCATCTTTTTTAATTTGTGTGAAATTGGCCAAATTGCCAATTTCTGACCACTTTATTGGGTAATTCAAATTGGTAAATGGGCGGTTTCTTGTATTCAACTGATAGAAAAAATGGGGTTCTAAAGAAATAGCTATGAGTTTGGTCAACTGGAACAATGGAATTGGCCGAAAACAGGGCTCAAAGTCAGCGAAATCACCAATGCGTATATGTCGCCGAGACCGCTAACTTCGCGGGAGCGTAATTCCGTGAGTTTTTGACCAAATTTTGTACTTTTGGTGTCATTACCATTGGGAAAAGATTCTCTATCATTTCATAAGAAAATATAATTTTTTTTTCCAAATATTTTGCGACATAGAATGACAGTTTCAGAAAGGGGCTTGTGACAGTCAAAGGGTTAATTGCATTTCAGTTAATTTAAATGAGGAAAATTGACTCTGCTAACGAGCAAATCCAGATGCGAGCAAGGTCACGGAACGGATTAAACTCGTGAGTGGAGATGTTGATAAATTAGACACATGTGCAACTCTTGGGTATCTTTATTGAGGAAACGTTTCGCCACACAGTGGCTTCATCAGTCCATACAAAGGAGAATCTTGAAGAACAGGAGGAGAATGAGGTAATCAGTCCCTCAACCTTGAGTCGATGTGGTCAGTCCATTCTATTCAAGATTGATGGACTGACCACATCGACTCAAGGTTGAGGGACTGATTACCTCATTCTCCTCCTGTTCTTCAAGATTCTCCTTTGTATGGACTGATGAAGCCACTGTGTGGCGAAACGTTTCCTCAATAAAGATACCCAAGAGTTGCACATGTGTCTAATTTATCAACATGTCGGTTCTCTGAACCATTCATCTACAAATCGTGAGTGGAGGTTCCACTGTACTTTGCAGACCCATCGTGCACATGGTTTCTCTCATGTCTAGCCAAAAATTTATTAGTCACAGCATAATTGAGGGCACTATGATTGATGTAGATCTCTGTGAATGATTGTGAAAGGGTTAAATAATATAACTGATGTGCTGTTGGAGTGTCAGCAAGAAATTTAGAAATTGGTTAGCCAGACCCAAGTCCTGAAGGTGGGCAGTACTGTCTCTTCACTGTGAAGGATGGGTGGGGAAGTTAGTCTTAAAGGTGAGCAGTACTGTCTTCACTGTGTAGGATGGGTGGGGATGTTATAGTTCTGGAGGCAGAAAGTACTGTGTCTTCACTCTGAGGGATGGGTGGGGATGTTACAGTCCTGGAGGTGGGAAGTACAGTGCCTGTACTCTGAAGGATGGGTGAGGATGTCACTGTCCTGGAAGTGGGAAGTACAGTGCCTGCACTCTGAAGGATGGGTGAGGATGTTACAGTCCTGGAGGTGGGAAGTACAGTGCCTGCACTCTGAAGGATGGGTGAGGATATTACTGTCCTGGAAGTGGGAAGTACAGTGCCTGCTCTCTGAAGGATGCATGGGGATGTTACAGTCCTGGAAGTGGGAAGTACAGTTCCTGCTCTCTGAAGGATGCATGGGGATGTTACAGTCCTGGAAGTGGGAAGTAGAGTGCCTGCACTCTGAAGGATGCATGGGGATGTTACAGTCCTGGAAGTGGGAAGTACAGTTCCTGCTCTCTGAAGGATGCATGGGGATGTTACAGTCCTGGAAGTGGGAAGTAGAGTGCCTGCACTCTGAAGGATGCGTGGGGATGTTACAGTCCTGGAAGTGGGAAGTACAATTCCTGCTCTCTGAAGGATGCATGGGGATGTTACAGTCCTGGAAGTGGGAAGTAGAGTGCCTGCACTCTGAAGGATGCATGGGGATGTTACAGTCCTGGAAGTGGGAAGTACAGTTCCTGCTCTCTGAAGGATGCATGGGGATGTTACAGTCCTGGAAGTGGGAAGTAGAGTGCCTGCTCTCTGAAGGATGCGTGGGGATGTTACAGTCCTGGAAGTGGGAAGTACAGTTCCTGCTCTCTGAAGGATGGGTGAGGATGTCACTGTCCTGGAAGTGGGAAGTACAGTGCCTGCACTCTGAAGGATGCGTGGGGATGTTACAGTCCTGGAAGTAACCTGGTTGTAAACTGAAACACTAACATTGTAATTTTTATGACCCTTATAGGTTTAGTACTTGGTTATAATTATAACATTAATGTAAGTTGTTTGTAAATAGGGATTGTGTATTAGTGTCTTGTGATGCTGCAGAGTTACACATTAATTATATTGTATCTTAAACTACATATCTTTTCCAGTAATATTTTTTCCTTTCTGTGGTAAGTGTCTTTCCACACAGGAAAGTGAGAATAATATTTTTTCCCAGATTTGTGTTCAGTTGAAGTGATTGTTGCTCACTTTCCCCAGGGAGCATGACAAGGACCCTGCTACCCTGTTCCAGGTTCTATTCCAGTTGGCAGAAGCAGGACTGAATTTCCGCATCAGTGTCTTGGGTCAGTCGTACACGGAGAACCCGCCAATCTTCAATGAAGCACGTCAGAGGTTGTCTAACTTCATCACACATTGGGGTTATGCACCAAATAAGGAAAAGTAAGTAATAAATACATGTATCCCATGTGATTCTGTTTAATTCCTGTGCTTGTCTCCAAATTTTTATTTTTTGAAGCTTCACTCAAGTGGGATTTGTTCTGCTCAGTTTGTTCCAGTCATCATTTTTTTAACACTGGCCGTCTCCCACTGAGGCAGAGCGACCTGACACAGAATCTTAACACACTGGCCGTCTCCCACTGAGGCAGAGCGACCTGACACAGAATCTTAACACACTGACGTCTCCCACTGAGGCAGAGCGACCTGACACAGAATCTTAACACACTGGTCGTCTCCCACTGAGGCAGAGCGACCTGACACAGAATCTTAACACACTGGCCGTCTCCCACTGAGGCAGAGCGACCTGACACAGAATCTTAACACACTGGTCGTCTCCCACTGAGGCAGAGCGACCTGACACAGAATCTTAACACACTGGCCGTCTCCCACTGAGGCAGAGCGATCTGACACAGAATCTTAACACACTGGCCATCTCCCACTGAGGCAGAGCGACCTGACACAGAATCCCTTTAAAACACTGTGCCGTCTCCCACTGAGGCAGAGCGACCTGACACAGAATCTTAACACACTGATCGTCTCCCACTGAGGCAGAGCGACCTGACACAGAATCTTAACACACTGGCCGTCTCCCACTGAGGCAGAGCGACCTGACACAGAATCTTAACACACTGGCCATCTCCCACTTAGGCAGAGCGACCTGACACAGAATCTTAACACACTGGCCGTCTCCCACTGAGGCAGAGCGATCTGACACAGAATCTTAACACACTGGCCGTCTCCCACTGAGGCAGAGCGACCTGACACAGAATCTTAACACACTGGTCGTCTCCCACTGAGTCAGAGCGACCTGACACAGAATCTTAACACACTGGCCGTCTCCCACTTAGGCAGAGCGACCTGACACAGAATCTTAACACACTGGCCGTCTCCCACTGAGGCAGAGCGATCTGACACAGAATCTTAACACACTGGCTGTCTCCCACTGAGGCAGAGTGACCTGACACAGAATCTTAACACACTGGTCGTCTCCCAGTGAGGCAGAGCGACCTGACACAGAATCTTAACACACTGGCCGTCTCCCAGTGAGGCAGAGCGACCTGACACCCCAATTTTAAAACACACTGGCCGTCTCCCACTGAGGCAGAGCGACCTGACACAGAATCTTAACACACTGGCCGTCTCCCACTGAGGCAGAGCGACCTGACACAGAATCTTAACACACTGGCCGTCTCCCAGTGAGGCAGAGCGACCTGACACAGAATCTTAGCACACTGGCCGTCTCCCACTGAGGCAGAGTGACCTGACACAGAATCTTAACACACTGGCCGTCTCCCACTGAGGCAGAGCGACCTGACACAGAATCTTAACACTGGCCATCTCCCACTGAGGCAGAGCGACCTGACACAGAATCTTAACACACTGGCCGTCTCCCACTGAGGCAGAGCGACCTGACACACAATCTCTTTTAGGAAGTAATCGAAAATTATTGTAAATACTAAAAATTTATGAAATACAGTAATTTACAATTATACTGTTGTGATACCTGGAGACATTTTTGGGGGTCAACGCCCAAGCAGCCCGGTCCATGACCAGATCTCATGGTGGATCAGGACCTGATCCACCAGGCTGTTACTGCTGGCCGCACGTAAACTGATGTACGAACCACAACCCGGCTGGTCAGGTACTGACTTTAGGTGCCTGTCCAGAGCCTTCTTGAAGACAGCCAGAGGTCTCTTGTTAATCCTCCATATGTATACTGGGATGCAGTTGAACAGTCTTGGGCCCCTGACACTTATTGTGTTGTCTCTTAAAGTACTAGTAGCACCCCTGCTTTTCATTGGGGGAATGTTGCATCTCCTGCTGAGTCTTTTGCTTTTGTAGAGAGTGACTTTCGTGCAAAAATTTGGTACTATACCCTCTAGGATTTTCCAAGTGTATATTATGATGTATCTTTCTCGCCTGCATTCCAGGGAGTACAAATAAAGGGATTTCAACCATATTGTTATATTATATTTTTCTTATAAAGAATAAAAAGTCACAGTACCGTGGTTTTAAAAATACACAAATAACCCTCAGACAGAAAGAAAGTTTTGACGACATTTTGGTCTAGCTTGGACCATTAACTAGCAACTAATTAATGGTCCAAGTCTGACTGAACCATCGTCATAAGTTTCCTTATTCTATGTGAGGGTTATTTGTGTATATTTTTCTTATGTAAGTCTTTTCCTCAGATACTGGGAAGTGCTCCACTCGGGGGATGTTGTGGTGTCGACGGCACACCACGAGTTCTTCGGTGTTGCTATGCTGGAGGCTGTTGGTGCAGGCTGCTTCCCAATATGTCCCAACCGACTGGTTTATCCTGAAATATTTCCCCAGGTATGTAGACAGCACCTCACATGAAGGACTGTGCTTCTAGTGTGTGAGTGACCTCTCTGGTATTTGTTAAATAGGGCTTACTGGAAGTACTGTACAGGAGAGTCCCATTTATACAGCAGGTTAGCTTCTGGGCAGCTGATGTAAAGTGAAAATTGCTGTAAAGTGAATCAGAGCCTTTTTTTTCACTGTCAAATGCATATAAAAGCCTGAGAACATGTTTACACTATCATATATTAAGTGAGCAATAGAGCTAGACCTACAAAATGCATATACAGTACACACATTACTTCTTTCTTTCAACACACCGGCCGTATCCCACCAAGGCAGGGTGGCCCAAAAAGAAAAACGAAAGTTTCTCTTAAATTTAGTAATTTATACGGGAGAAGGGGTTACTAGCCCCTTGCTCCCGGCATTTTAGTCGCCTCTTACAACACGCATGGCTTATGGAGGAAGAATTCTGTTCCACTTCCCCATGGAGATAAGAGGAAATAAACAAGAACAAGAACTAGAAAGAAAATAGAAGAATACCCAGAGGGGTGTGTATATATATGCGTGTACATGTGTGTGTAGTGTGACCTAAGTGCAAGTAGAAGTAGCAAGACGTACCTGAAATCTTGCATGTTTATGAGACAGACAAAAGACACCAGCAATCCTACCATCATGTAAAACAATTACAGGTTTTCGTTGTACACTCACTTGGCAGGACGGTAGTACCTCCCTGGGCGCTTGCTGTTTACCAACCTACTACCTAGGACACACATTACTTATCTTAAAATATTTTCAACCTTAGATTATAGTGAATAGTGAATATATTTATTGTAGGAAGTCTGAATAAATGAAACATGTATAATTAAAAACTGCTGTATTAGTGAAGCAATAAAGTGGAGTGCTGTAAAGCGAGACCCTCCGGTACATTAATAGCCCTTCAAATGTGGTACGTTAATGCAGGCAAAGAACTCTTGATCCAGGGAATTGGAGCTGCTTTACAGTTCCTTGCATCATACATGATTACCTCTTGTTCCTCAGGCACTGCATTACCCCTACATGTTTAGTGCTTCCTCTGTAATAATATTGTACTTTTTATATTATTATTATTATTATTATTATTATTATTACTAATTATAATTATTACTACTACTATTATTATTATTCATGAGCAAGACGTAAACCCTTAGGGGTCATACAATACTAGTATGTGCAGATCGTGTCAAGTTTATTGAACATTAACAAGAGACATAAATATTGATGCATTTATCTGGATGTTTCACTGTGAACGTTTCACCCGGGCATGGGCAAGACAGTGTCATTGTAGCTTCACCCGGGCATGGGCAAGACAGTGTCATTGTAGCTTCACCCAGGCATGGGCAAGACTGTGTCATTGTAGCTTCACCCAGGCATGGGCAAGACTGTCATTGTAGCTTCACCCAGCCATGGGCAAGACAGTGTCATTGTAGCTTCACCCGGGCATGGGCAAGACTGTGTCATTGTAGCTTCACCTGGCCATGGGCAAGACAGTGTCATTGTAGCTTCACCCAGGGCATGGGCAAGACAGTGTCATTGTAGCTTCACCCAGGCATGGGCAAGACTGTGTCATTGTAGCTTCACCCAGGCATGGGCAAGACTGTGTCATTGTAGCTTCACCCAGGCATGGGCAAGACAGTGTCATTGTAGCTTCACCCAGGCATGGGCAAGACAGTGTCATTGTAGCTTCACCCAGGCATGGGCAAGACTGTGTCATTGTAGCTTCACCTGGCCATGGGCAAGACAGTGTCATTGTAGCTTCACCCAGGCATGGGCAAGACAGTGTCATTGTAGCTTCACCCAGGCATGGGCAAGACTGTGTCATTGTAGCTTCACCTGGCCATGGGCAAGACAGTGTCATTGTAGCTTCACCCAGGCATGGGCAGGACTGTGTCATTGTAGCTTCACCGGCCATGGGCAAGACAGTGTCATTGTAGCTTCACCCAGGCATGGGCAAGACAGTGTCATTGTAGCTTCACCCAGGCATGGGCAAGACAGTGTCATTGTAGCTTCACCCAGGCATGGGCAAGACTGTCATTGTAGCTTCACCCAGCCATGGGCAAGACAGTGTCATTGTAGCTTCACCCGGGCATGGGCAAGACTGTCATTGTAGCTTCACCCAGCCATGGGCAAGACAGTGTCATTGTAGCTTCACCCAGGCATGGGCAAGACAGTGTCACTGTAGCTTCACCCAGGCATGGGCAAGACAGTGTCATTGTAGCTTCACCCAGGCATGGGCAAGACAGTGTCACTGTAGCTTCACCCAGGCATGGGCAAGACTGTGTCATTGTAGTTTCACCCAGCCATGGGCAAGAAAGTGTCATTGTAGCTTCACCCAGGCATGGGCAAGACTGTGTCATTGTAGCTTCACCTGGCCATGGGCAAGACATGGGCATTGTAGCTTCACCCAGGCATGGGCAAGACTGTGTCATTGTAGCTTCACCCAGGCATGGGCAAGACTGTGTCATTGTAGCTTCACCTGGCCATGGGCAAGACTGTGTCATTGTAGTTTCACCCAGGCATGGGCAAGACTGTGTCATTGTAGCTTCACCTGGCCATGGGCAAGACTGTGTCATTGTAGCTTCACCCAGGCATGGGCAAGACTGTGTCATTGTAGCTTCACCCAGGCATGGGCAAGACGTGTCACTGTAGCTTCAGCCAGGCATGGGCAAGACTTGTCATTGTAGCTTCACCCAGGCATGGGCAAGACTGTGTCATTGTAGCTTCACCCAGGCATGGGCAAGACTGTGTCACTGTAGCTTCACCCAGGCATGGGCAAGACTGTGTCATTGTAGCTTCACCCAGGCATGGGCAAGACAGTGTCATTGTAGCTTCACCCAGGCATGGGCAAGACTGTGTCATTGTAGCTTCACCCAGGCATGGGCAAGACTGTGTCATTGTAGCTTCACCCAGGCATGGGCAAGACAGTGTCATTGTAGCTTCACCCAGGCATGGGCAAGACTGTGTCATTGTAGCTTCACCCAGGCATGGGCAAGACTGTGTCATGTAGCTTCACCCAGGCATGGGCAAGACTGTGTCATTGTAGCTTCACCCAGGCATGGGCAAGACAGTGTCATTGTAGCTTCACCCAGGCATGGGCAAGACTGTGTCACTGTAGCTTCACCCAGGCATGGGCAAGACATTGTCATTGTAGCTTCACCCAGGCATGGGCAAGACTGTGTCATTGTAGCTTCACCCAGGCATGGGCAAGACAGTGTCATTGTAGCTTCACCCAGGCATGGGCAAAACGTGTCATTGTAGCTTCACCCGGCATGGGCAAGACGTGTCATTGTAGCTTCACCCAGGCATGGGCAAGACAGTGTCATTGTAGCTTCACCCAGGCATGGGCAAACTGTGTCATTGTAGCTTCACCCAGGGCATGGGCAAGACTGTGTCATTGTAGCTTCACCCAGGCATGGGCAAGACAGTGTCATTGTAGCTTCACCCAGGCATGGGCAAGACTGTGTCACTGTAGCTTCACCCAGGCATGGGCAAGACTGTGTCATTGTAGCTTCACCCGGGCATGGGCAAGACAGTGTCATTGTAGCTTCACCCAGGCATGGGCAAGACTGTGTCACTGTAGCTTCACCCGGGCATGGGCAAGATAGTGTCATTGTAGCTTCACCCAGGCATGGGCAAGACAGTGTCATTGTAGCTTCACCCAGGCATGGGCAAGACAGTGTCATTGTAGCTTCACCCAGGCATGGGCAAGACAGTGTCATTGTAGCTTCACCCGGGCATGGGCAAGACAGTGTCATTGTAGCTTCACCCGGGCATGGGCAAGACTGTGTCATTGTAGCTTCACCCGGGCATGGGCAAGACTGTGTCATTGTAGCTTCACCCAGGCATGGGCAAGATAGTGTCATTGTAGCTTCACCCAGGCATGGGCAAGACTGTGTCACTGTAGCTTCACCCAGGCATGGGCAAGACAGTGTCATTGTAGCTTCACCCAGGCATGGGCAAGACAGTGTCATTGTAGCTTCACCCGGGCATGGGCAAGACAGTGTCATTGTAGCTTCACCCGGGCATGGGCAAGACTGTGTCACTGTAGCTTCACCCGGGCATGGGCAAGACTGTGTCATTGTAGCTTCACCCAGGCATGGGCAAGATAGTGTCATTGTAGCTTCACCCAGGCATGGGCAAGACTGTGTCATTGTAGCTTCACCCAGGCATGGGCAAGATAGTGTCATTGTAGTTTCCATGTAACTGTTGTTTCTTGTTGGTATTTTCTACCATTACATCTGTTGTTTCTTGTTGGTATTTTCTACCATTACGTCTGTTGTTTCTTGTTGGTATTTTCTACATTACGTCTGTTGTTTCTTGTTGGTATTTTCTACCATTACATCTGTTGTTTCTTGTTGGTATTTTCTACCATTACGTCTGTTGTTTCTTGTTGGTATTTTCTACCATTACGTCTGTTGTTTCTTGTTGGTATTTTCTACCATTACATCTGTTGTTTCTTGTTGGTATTTTCTACCATTACGTCTGTTGTTTCTTGTTGGTATTTTCTACCATTATGTCTGTTGTTTCTTGTTGGTATTTTCTACCATTATGTCTGTTGTTTCTTGTTGGTATTTTCTACCATTATGTCTGTTGTTTCTTGTTGGTATTTTCTACCATTACGTCTGTTGTTTCTTGTTGGTATTTTCTACCATTACGTCTGTTGTTTCTTGTTGGTATTTTCTACCATTACATCTGTTGTTTCTTGTTGGTATTTTCTACCATTACGTCTGTTGTTTCTTGTTGGTATTTTCTACCATTACATCTGTTGTTTCTTGTTGGCTGAGTGTTTGTGTTCATTACTTTTGTTACGGCTTAATCTCAGTATACAAGGAAGGACGAATGTTGACGTTTTTTTTCTTGTCATTACTGTTACATTGTCAGTAACTCGTACTCTAGATTGTGCTCTCTAGGCTCACCCTTATTCGACCTCTCTAACCATTAGTGACTTCTCTTAAACCAGTGGGGCTAGGCTGCCCAGCAGACACTGAACATCCAACCAGACTTGAGGGGCAGATATGGCTACAGTATGGCTAGGCTCAAATTATTTTTTCAGTATACCACAACAGACCAAGTGTATCATGTCAGCACTGCCTCATTATTCACTCACGAGCCCCCATGTTTTTTTCGTTACTTTGGTAACACTATTGTCTGCATACTAGGAAGGTCAAGTGATGACGGGGGGGATTTTATTATCTGTATATAGCTTTATTACTCTTGTTCTTTTAGTGCTTCTGGTGTGCAAGTAATATTGCTTGAAACTAATAAAATAGATAAAATAAGGGAGAAGCTAGAGTGTTGTGATGACCAGCAGTGTGTCATACAATGTTTGTCCGTCAGTCATCACTGGTTGATGACCAGCAGTGTGTCATACAATGTTTGTCCTTCAGTCATCACTCTGGTTGATGACCAGCAGTGTGTCATACAATGTTTGTCCGTCAGTCATCACTGGTTGATGACCAGCAGTGTGTCATACAATGTTTGTCCGTCAGTCATCACTGGTTGATGACCAGCAGTGTGTCATACAATGTTTGTCCGTCAGTCATCACTCTGGTTGATGACCAGCAGTGTGTCATACAGTGTATGTCCTTTAGTCATCACTCTGGTTGATGACCAGCAGTGTGTCATACAGTGTATGTCCTTCAGTCATCACTCTGGTTGATGACCAGCAGTGTGTCATACAGTGTATGTCCTTCAGTCATCACTCTGGTTGATGACCAGCAGTGTGTCATACAGTGTATGTCCTTCAGTCATCACTGGTTGATGACCAGCAGTGTGTCATACAGTGTACATCCTTTAGTCATCACTGGTTGATGACCAGCAGTGTGTCATACAGTGTACATCCTTTAGTCATCACTGGTTGATGACCAGCAGTGTGTCATACAGTGTATGTCCTTCAGTCATCACTCTGGTTGATGATCAGCAGTGTGTCATACAGTGTATGTCCTTCAGTCATCACTCTGGTTGATGACCAGCAGTGTGTCATACAGTGTATGTCCTTCAGTCATCACTCTGGTTGATGATCAGCAGTGTGTCATACAGTGTATGTCCTTTAGTCATCACTCTGGTTGATGACCAGCAGTGTGTCATACAGTGTATGTCCTTCAGTCATCACTGGTTGATGACCAGCAGTGTGTCATACAGTGTACGTCCTTCAGTCATCACTCTGGTTGATGACCAGCAGTGTGTCATACAGTGTACGTCCTTCAGTCATCACTGGTTGATAACCAGCAGTGTGTCATACAGTGTACGTCTTCAGTCATCACTGGTTGTAACCAGCAGTGTGTCATACAGTGTACGTCCTTCAGTCATCACTGGTTGATAACCAGCAGTGTGTCATACAGTGTACGTCCTTCAGTCATCACTGGTTGATAACCAGCAGTGTGTCATACAGTGTACGTCCTTCAGTCATCACTGGTTGATGACCAGCAGTGTGTCATACAGTGTATGTCCTTCAGTCATCACTGGTTGATGACCAGCAGTGTGTCATACAGTGTATGTCCTTCAGTCATCACTGGTTGATGACCAGCAGTGTGTCATACAGTGTACGTCCTTCAGTCATCACTGGTTGATAACCAGCAGTGTGTCATACAGTGTACGTCCTTCAGTCATCACTCTGGTTGATGACCAGCAGTGTGTCATACAGTGTACGTCCTTCAGTCATCACTGGTTGATAACCAGCAGTGTGTCATACAGTGTACGTCCTTCAGTCATCACTGGTTGATAACCAGCAGTGTGTCATACAGTGTACGTCCTTCAGTCATCACTGGTTGATAACCAGCAGTGTGTCATACAGTGTACGTCCTTCAGTCATCACTGGTTGATAACCAGCAGTGTGTCATACAGTGTACGTCCTTCAGTCATCACTGGTTGATAACCAGCAGTGTGTCATACAGTGTATGTCCTTCAGTCATCACTGGTTGATGACCAGCAGTGTGTCATACAGTGTATGTCCTTCACTCATCACTGGTTGATGACCAGCAGTGTGTCATACAGTGTACGTCCTTCAGTCATCACTGGTTGATAACCAGCAGTGTGTCATACAGTGTATGTCCTTCAGTCATCACTGGTTGATAACCAGCAGTGTGTCATACAGTGTATGTCCTTCAGTCATCACTGGTTGATGATCAGCAGTGTGTCATACAGTGTACATCCTTCAGTCATCACTGGTTGATGATCAGCAGTGTGTCATACAGTGTACATCCTTCAGTCATCACTGGTTGATGATCAGCAGTGTGTCATACAGTGTACATCCTTCAGTCATCACTGGTTGATGATCAGCAGTGTGTCATACAGTGTACATCCTTCAGTCATCACTGGTTGATGATCAGCAGTGTGTCATACAGTGTACATCCTTCAGTCATCACTGGTTGATGATCAGCAGTGTGTCATACAGTGTACATCCTTCAGTCATCACTGGTTGATGATCAGTAGTGTGTCATACAGTGTACGTCGTTTAGTCATCACTCAGGTTGTGCTACGTTCTTAAACCAATCATTCAGTTTCTTGACCCCTGGATTGTCTTCAATATTTTTCTTGAGTAATTTTCTTCAAGGGAAGGATGCTCTGACACTGATAAAGTTTTCTTGAATTAAGGATTTCAAACTACATCCCTTTCCTAAGGTCAGACATGATTACTTGGTGTTTCACAAGCATTATGTGACCCACATGGGTTTATCTCTTTCACGTAGTATTATTAATACAGCCTCTCCTCACTTAGCAACGTACCCTTTTACTGATGACCCGGACTTATGATGGGCTCTCTGACCAGTGAGCATACCTAAATAATGTATATTAGAGCTTATTTCCTCTCTTCTGTTTATTACAATATACAGTACACTACTGTATAAACATTTAAAAATACAGTGGAACCTCGGCTTATGAGTTTAATCCATTCCGTGACCTTGCTCATATCTCAATCTGCTTGTATGCTGAGTCAATTTTCCTCATTTGAATTAATTGAAATGCCATTAATCCATTACAGCGGAATTCCTGCTCTCAGGATTCAGGACAAAATACTTGAATATGATGCTCATATCAACTCTATGGCTTATTTATCTATCACAATTCATCTAATATGACATAATAAACAATATAAATAACATAGAAAGCTGAATAATATAAGTCATGTGACAAGTGTTGGCGGCCATTCCCGCACACCTGCTTGTATTTATCTATGATTTCACCGCGAGGTGCACTGCCATTCCCCGACACTCCACACCACCATCCCAGCTGTTGTGAATAGTGTTCAGTTCCACTTCTCTCCTACAAGCTAGCTGTGTTTGTGAATTGTGTTTTGACTTACTTAACTGACTTGACTTACTGATTTACTGACTTGACTTACTGATTTACTGACTTGACTTACTGATTTACTGACTTGACTTACTGATTTACTGACTTGACTTACTGATTTACTGACTTGACTGACTTAATGACTTAACTGACTGACTGACTTACTGAATATTATAATGGGGAAGTGCTAAACCTGTAGGATTATACTGCGCCTGTGGAAGGGAGGGGATGGACGGTATTCGGACTTAATTCAGGGAACTGGAGCACAGATACAATTCCCTAGATCAAGAGCCCCTCACCAGCATCAAGGAACCTACCTTGAGGGAAAAGCTCGCGTCCAGAGTTTTTGCTCATATCTAGAGACAAAAATTCGACAGAGTGACTGCTCGTATCCTGAAAAACTCGTATGGTGGGACACTCGTAAGCCAAGGTTCCACTGTATACCAGAAATGTTATAAATGGTGTGAAGGTGACATGAAACAATATCAAAGATGGGTGACCTAAACCCACTACCATTATAGTATGCTCCTCACTTAGCGACGAATTCGTTTACCGACGTGATCTCAGGAACGGAACATCGTCATTAAGTGAGGAGAGGCTAAACACCAACCATCCGACTTACGACCTGCTCAACGTACGACCACTCGTATGTTCTGGGGAAATAAACAAGTGTTTGTGTTGTACACAGTGTTTCTCCTAAACCTTAAAGTATAAAATACAGTACTAACAGCATAAAAAGCTAAGTAGAAAATTAAATACCAAAATAAAACACTAAAATAAAATCATTACATAAAGTGATGCTGATATTCAGTAGTAAGATTCGACTTAGGTCCATTTTGACTTACGACCAGTTAGTCAGAACCAAGCTTGGTCGTAAGTCGGATGGTAGGTGTGTTTTATTTCAGCATGATACAATGTTTGTACAGAGGTGACATTTAGGTGTGCATGCAGAACCCTCATTGTTATGCAGAGCATTTCAGGCAAACTTAAACATCCATACGTATAATGATATACTAGTTAACTTTGCTATGTTCTCAGGAATGCCTGTACAACACAACGCAGCAGTTGCAGAAGAGTCTTGCTCAGTGGTGTTCACGACCCCAGCTCGTGCGCTCGAAAAAGGTCAACCTCGATCTAAACGCTTTCTCGTGGGCCACCCTAAAGCAGCGCTACATTGACCTTCTATCCTAAAGGACAACAAAGATCGTGCCACGCTCACAGCTAAACCTCCAGTGTCATGCCACCTGTGCCAGAAAGGCGCTTTGAAGCCTTTGTACTTAGAGAAGACTTAGCTGGTTCTTGGTATGTAGTGAACGATAGTACCCTTGTATTACACTCAGAAGGTGTTGAGCATTGCCATCAACAAAACTTTTTTCATCAATATTCCCTGGAAGTTGCCAGCAAGTACTGGACTGGTAGCTGGGGTCTTAATATTCTCTGGAAGTAGCCAGCAAGTACTGGACTGGTAGCTGGGGTCTTAATATTCCCTGGAAGTAGCCAGCAAGTACTGGACTGGTAGCTGGGGTCTTAATATTCCCTTGAAGTAGCCAGCAAGTACTGGACTGGCAGCTGGGGTCTTAATATTCTCTGGAAGTAGCCAGCAAGTACTGGACTGGTAGCTGGGGTCTTAATATTCTCTGGAAGTAGCCATCAAGTACTGGACTGGTAGCTGGGGTCTTCATATTCTCTGGAAGTAGCCAGCAAGTATTGGACTGGTAGCTGGGGTCTTAATATTCTCTGGAAGTAGCCAGCAAGTACTGGACTGGTAGCTGGGGTCTTAATATTCCCTGGAAGTAGCCAGCAAGTACTGGACTGGTAGCTGGGGTCTTAATATTCCCTTGAAGTAGCCAGCAAGTACTGGACTGGCAGCTGGGGTCTTAATATTCTTTGGAAGTAGCCAGCAAGTACTGGATTGGTAGCTGGGGTCTTAATATTCTCTGGAAGCAGCCACCAAGTACTGGACTGGTAGCTGGGGTCTTAATATTCTCTGGAAGTAGCCAGCAAGTACTGGACTGATAGCTGGGGTCTTAATATTCTCTGGAAGTAGCCAGCAAGTACTGGACTGGTAGCTGGGGTCTTAATATTCTCTGGAAGTAGCCAGCAAGTACTGGACTGGTAGCTGGGGTCTTAATATTCTCTGGAAGTAGCCAGCAAGTACTGGACTGATAGCTGGGGTCTTAATATTCTCTGAAAGTAGCCAGCAAGTACTGGACTGGTAGCTGGGGTCTTAATATTCTCTGGAAGTAGCCAGCAAGTACTGGACTGGTAGCTGGGGTCTTAATATTCTCTGGAAGTAGCCAGCAAGTACTGGACTGGTAGCTGGGGTCTTAATATTCCCTGGAAGTAGCCAGCAAGTACTGGACTGGTAGCTGGGGTCTTAATATTCTCTGGAAGTAGCCAGCAAGTACTGGACTGGTAGCTGGGGTCTTAATATTCTCTGGAAGTTGCCAGCAAGTACTGGACTGGTAGCTGGGGTCTTAATATTCCCTGGAAGTAGCCAGCAAGTACTGGACTGGCAGCTGGGGTCTTAATATTCTCTGGAAGTAGCCAGCAAGTACTGGATTGGTAGCTGGGGTCTTAATATTCTCTGGAAGTAGCTACCAAGTACTGGACTGGTAGCTGGGGTCTTAATATTCTCTGGAAGTAGCCAGCAAGTACTGGACTGGTAGCTGGGGTCTTAATATTCTCTGGAAGTAGCCAGCAAGTACTGGACTGGTAGCTGGGGTCTTAATATTCTCTGGAAGTAGCCAGCAAGTACTGGACTGGTAGCTGGGGTCTTAATATTCTCTGGAAGTAGCCAGCAAGTACTGGACTGGTAGCTGGGGTCTTAATATTCCATGGAAGTAGCCAGCAAGTACTGGACTGGTAGCTGGGGTCTTAATATTCCATGGAAGTAGCCAGCAAGTACTGGACTGGTAGCTGGGGTCTTAATATTCTCTGGAAGTAGCCAGCAAGTACTGGACTGGTAGCTGGGGTCTTAATATTCTCTGGAAGTTGCCAGCAAGTACTGGACTGGTAGCTGGGGTCTTAATATTCCCTGGAAGTAGCCAGCAAGTACTGGACTGGCAGCTGGGGTCTTAATATTCTCTGGAAGTAGCCAGCAAGTACTGGATTGGTAGCTGGGGTCTTAATATTCTCTGGAAGTAGCCACCAAGTACTGGACTGGTAGCTGGGGTCTTAATATTCTCTGGAAGTTGCCAGCAAGTACTGGACTGGTAGCTGGGGTCTTAATATTCTCTGGAAGTAGCCAGCAAGTACTGGACTGGTAGCTGGGGTCTTAATATTCTCTGGAAGTAGCCAGCAAGTACTCGACTGGTAGCTGGGGTCTTAATATTCTCTGGAAGTAGCCAGCAAGTGCTGAACTGGTAGCTGGGGTCTTAATATTCTCTGGAAGTAGCCAGCAAGTACTGGACTGGTAGCTGGGGTCTTAATATTCTCTGGAAGTAGCCAGCAAGTACTGAACTGGTAGCTGGGGTCTTAATATTCTCTGGAAGTAGCCAGCAAGTACTGAACTGGTAGCTGGGGTCTTAATATTCTCTGGAAGTAGCCAGCAAGTACTGAACTGGTAGCTGGGGTCTTAATATTCTCTGGTAGTAGCCAGCAAGTACTGAACTGGTAGCTGGGGTCTTAATATTCTCTGGAAGTAGCCAGCAAGTACTGGACTGGTAGCTGGGGTCTTAATATTCTCTGGAAGTAGCCAGCAAGTACTGAACTGGTAGCTGGGGTCTTAATATTCTCTGGTAGTAGTCAGCAAGTACTGGACTGGTAGCTGGGGTCTTAATATTCTCTGGAAGTAGCCAGCAAGTACTGGACTGGTAGCTGGGGTCTTAATATTCTCTGGAAGTAGCCAGCAAGTACTGAACTGGTAGCTGGGGTCTTAATATTCTCTGGTAGTAGTCAGCAAGTACTGGACTGGTAGCTGGGGTCTTAATATTCTCTGGTAGTAGCCAGCAAGTACTGGACTGGTAGCTGGGGTCTTAATATCAAGTCTAACACCTACCAGTATCTCTATAGTGGACAAGTCTGTTACTGTGCATACTACCTTTCATCAGTGTTACACACTGTCTGACTCCTCAGTGTTACATGTTGTACACACTGACTCCTCAGTGTTACAAACTGGCTGACTCCTCAGTGTTACATGTTGTACACACTGACTCCTCAGTGTTACAAACTGTCTGACTCCTTAGTGTTACATGTTGTACACACTGACTCCTCAGTGTTACAAACTGGCTGACTCCTCAGTGTTACAAACTGTCTGACTCCTCAGTGTTACAAACTGGCTGACTCCTCAGTGTTACAAACTGGCTGACTCCTCAGTGTTACAAACTGTCTGACTCCTCAGTGTTACAAACTGGCTGACTCCTCAGTGTTACATGTTGTACACACTGACTCCTCAGTGTTACAAACTGGCTGACTCCTCAGTGTTACAAACTGGCTGACTCCTCAGTGTTACAAACTGGCTGACTCCTCAGTGTTACAAACTGGCTGACTCCTCAGTGTTACAAACTGGCTGACTCCTCAGTGTTACAAACTGGCTGACTCCTCAGTGTTACAAACTGGCTGACTCCTCAGCGTTACAAACTGGCTGACTCCTCAGTGTTACAAACTGGCTGACTCCTCAGTGTTACAAACTGGCTGACTCCTCAGTGTTACAAACTGGCTGACTCCTCAGTGTTACAAACTGGCTGACTCCTCAGTGTTACAAATTGGCTGACTCCTCAGTGTTACATGTTGTACACACTGACTCCTCAGTGTTACAAACTGGCTGACTCCTCAGTGTTACAAACTGGCTGACTCCTCAGTGTTACATGTTGTACACACTGACTCTTCAGTGTTACAAACTGGCTGACTCCTCAGTGTTACAAACTGGCTGACTCCTCAGTGTTACAAACTGGCTGACTCCTCAGTGTTACAAACTGGCTGACTCCTCAGTGTTACAAACTGGCTGACTCCTCAGTGTTACATGTTGTACACACTGACTCCTCAGTGTTACAAACTGGCTGACTCCTCAGTGTTACAAACTGGCTGACTCCTCAGTGTTACATGTACACACTGACTCTTCAGTGTTACAAACTGGCTGACTCCTCAGTGTTACAAACTGGCTGACTCCTCAGTGTTACATGTTGTACACACTGACTCCTCAGTGTTACAAACTGGCTGACTCTTCAGTGTTACAAACTGGCTGACTCCTCAGTGTTACATGTACACACTGACTCCTCAGTGTTACAAACTGGCTGACTCCTCAGTGTTACAAACTGGCTGACTCCTCAGTGTTACATGTTGTACACACTGACTCTTCAGTGTTACAAACTGGCTGACTCCTCAGTGTTACAAACTGGCTGACTCCTCAGTGTTACAAACTGGCTGACTCCTCATGTTGTTGTACACACTGATCTAGTGTTACAATGCTGACTCCTCAGTGTTACAAACTGGCTGACTCCTCAGTGTTTTACATAGTGGTTGAACCTATCCTCAGTGTTACAAACTGGCTGACTCCTCAGTGTTACATGTTGTACACACTGACTCCTCAGTGTTACAAACTGGCTGACTCCTCAGTGTTACATGTACACACTGACTCCTCAGTGTTACAAACTGGCTGACTCCTCAGTGTTACATGTACACACTGACTCCTCAGTGTTACATGTACTGACTCCTCAGTGTTACAACTGGTGACTCTCAGTGTTACATGTACACACTGACTCCTCAGTGTTACAAACTGGCTGACTCCTCAGTGTATAACATGACTCTCGTGTTACAAATGGCTGACTCCTCAGTGTTACAAACTGGCTGACTCCTCATGTGTGTCACACATAGTGTTACAACGCTGACTCCTCAGTGTTACAAACTGGCTGACTCCTCAGTGTTACAAACTGGCTGACTCCTCAGTGTTACATGTGTACACACTGACTCCTCAGTGTTACAAACTGGCTATTGGACTAAAATGACTCCTCAGTGTTACAAACTGGCTGACTCCTCAGTGTTACAAACTGGCTGACTCCTCAGTGTTACATGTTGTACACACTGACTCCTCAGTGTTACAAACTGGCTGACTCTCGTGTTACATGTTGTACACACTGACTCCTCAGTGTTACAAACTGGCTGACTCCTCAGTGTTACAAACTGGCTGACTCCTCAGTGTTACATGTTGTACACACTGACTCCTCAGTGTTACAAACTGGCTGACTCCTCAGTGTTACATGTTGTACACACTGACTCCTCAGTGTTACAAACTGGCTGACTCCTCAGTGTTTACAAACTGGACTTGACTCCTCAGTGTTACATGTTGTACACACTGACTCCTCAGTGTTACAAACTGGCTGACTCCTCAGTGTTACATGTTGTACACACTGACTCCTCAGTGTTACAAACTGGCTGACTCCTCAGTGTTACATGTTGTACACACTGACTCCTCAGTGTTACAATGGCTGACTCCTCAGTGTTACATGTTGTACACACTGACTCCTCAGTGTTACAAACTGGCTGACTCCTCAGTGTTACATGTTTACACACTGATCCTCATGTTACAAACTGGCTGACTCCTCAGTGTTACATGTACACACTGACTCCTCAGTGTTACAAACTGGCTGACTCCTCAGTGTTACAAACTGGCTGACTCCTCAGTGTTACAAACTGGCTGACTCCTCAGTGTTACAAACTGGCTGACTCCTCAGTGTTACATGTTGTACACACTGACTCTTCAGTGTTACAAACTGGCTGACTCCTCAGTGTTACAAACTGGCTGACTCCTCAGTGTTACATGTTGTACACACTGACTTCTTAGTCTTACGTACATATTATCCTAAGTTCTGTGCTTATTTATTTATTTATTTATTTATTTATTGAAACTGAACTTAACAGTCGAGGACAGACTGAGCAGTTTCCTCACTCATGTTTTGACTTAACTGTGAACGAAAAGATCTTTAGTTTTAAATATTAATGTTTCATTATGCTTCATTATGTTTCAGAAAAACTTGTGCATTTTTTTGTAAATGTGAGCATATCATTATCACTGCCAGTATATCCTTGCTTCGTGTCCACACAACATTGAATGGTAAGATGAAGCAGCTGGTTCGTTTTGTTGCCAGCTGAGCGCAGTAAATTCTCAATGTAACAAACTTTTGAAATACAGACATACTTCACTGATATGGTGGGTTAGGTTCCAGACTGCTGCTGTGAAGTCGATATCACTTCATTCATTGATATATAACAATGGTTATAAATGACCATAATTTTTAAAGGGGTGGACCGGTAAGCCAGCGGAAGGCCTCGGTCAGATGACCAAAAGCTCCAAAGGCGGGTCATCATCTGACTAAGACCCGCGTCAGGAAACATTTGTCCTGTTTCCTGACGAACCTTACCTAACCTAACCTAACTTCATTCATTAGAGGTTCGCCGGTACTTCCGGCCCGGGTCTTCTCCATATGGTGACCCGGCTGTCAATATCACTTTCAAGCGAATCACGGCCCTTTTTTTTTTCTACTTGCTAGTTCATATAAAAGCCTATAAATTTATTTACCTTATCATTTATTAAGACTGCAATAGCACTAGGCCTAAAACATGATGCAAAGGTAAAAAAAATAATAATGAAGAAAGTTGAAAACAGGGGAAAAATCATCTTGAAAACAAGACAAGCACCAAATACAATAAACACGGACATAATTGAGAAGCAGTGTACAGTGGACCCCCGCTTAACGATCACCTCCAAATGCGACCAATTATGTAAGTGTATTTATGTAAGTGCGTTTGTACATGTATGTTTGGGGGTCTGAAATGGACTAATCTACTTCACAGTGTTCCTTATGGGAAAAAATTCGGTCAGTACTGGCACCTGAACATACTACTGGAGTGAAAAAAGTTCGTTAACCGGGGGTCCACTGTATTAGGAAAGCGGTCTAAAGCAAGTGCTGTATTGATGATGTATGTCTGTAACGGACAAAATTTCCTGCATAAATTATCTTTTAGCTCATTATTTTACAATGTTTATTATAGTTTGTAAGATGTCTGTTTTGTACTATATTAGATGTACAGTAGAGTACTTAAGTGCTTTTTCTGTTATTTTTAATTGTTATTCAAATTTAGTGACGCTCAGACAAAACATTAGTTCATTAGTCCTTTATATGAAGGATTTACTGTATTATATTTGATAGAAGAGAGGAACTAAGATGTGAGAAACCTACCATTGGAACCTTTAAGAAATAGTATAAGGCACAATACCGTGACTGGAAAAATACACAAATAACCCACGTATAGGAGAGAGAGAAGCAAACCACAATATTTTAGTCTGACTTGGACCATTTACAAGTCACTTGTGACTTGTAAATGGCCATCGTAAACTTCTCTCTCCTATGTGTAAAATTACATGTCAGGCCAAACTAAGATAGTTTCAGGCGCAGCTCAGTTATTGAAGCGCCGAGAGAGACTTGGTCACACATACGTCAGGAAGAAGTTAGGGCGAGTTTTCTGGTTGTTAAAACTTTTTACACCATAACTCTCTGTGACTCTTAATGTGGACTTCAATGGTGACGCAGCGACGGGTACAAAGCGAACCTTCATTTGACCAACATTTTCTTCTGTGTGATCTTTATCAAGTGTGTGACTTGGTAAAGCCTTATCAGTTATGTGACTTGGTAAAGCCTTATCAGTTATGTGACTTGATAGCTTTCGTCTTGATAAAGCTCTATACAGAGTGAAACAGTGTCTCAATAAAAGCTTGCTCTAAATCTGCCCTCACTGTGGTTGGCAGTACACCTTGTATCATAGCTTTCAGCAGGTAGCAGATAAAAGCTTGCAGAAACAGATGATTACTAATGACAAGTTTGGTGTAGGTTTGGTGGGCTGGATATTGGGTGTAATTTGGATGGGGTTACGGTCCAGTGTATGCATTTTAAGTCGAATACGAATATGATATGCTATATAAATATGTCGGTAAATAACTGCTCTCACTGAATAAGTAAATAAATAATTACTGTAAATACCAGATTGAAAAGTAAATGAATGCAAGTTGTGGACTTGCCACCTTCATGCTGGGTTTTTTCTTTCTGTTTTTGCGGCACACCGGCTGTCTCCCATTAAGGCAGATGACCCAAATAAGAAGAAACACTCTCATAAAATTTTTTTTTCTTTTTACATTTAGTAATTTATACATGGGAAAGGTTACTAGCACCTTGCTCCCAGCATTTTAGTTGCCACTTACGACACATGACTTACAGAGAAACAATTCTTCTCCACTTCCCGTGGCGTATTCCATATACATATACGTGATCACAAGTGCATACACAGGAACATGCATGTATAGATTCAAGCATACATATGTGTTCTTTCATATGCTGTTCGTATATGTATGTCGCTATGGGGTCCATGATAACAAGAGTGGAAATGTAACTGATCCAGCAGGCTGTAACTGCAGTAACATGGCAGTTATCTGTACTGGAAATTTATTACTAATGCCAGAACCAGCAGTGCACTTGCAATATGACCTTCCTTCTACTTGTTAATTATGTTTTATTGGTTTATCTCTTCCTCTTATCTCTGCTACACAAACTTGTTTTTTTATCTCTCTGGCCTGGTCACAGACCGGGCTGCGGGGGCATTGACCCCCGGAACTCTCTCCAGGTAAACAACAAGGAATGGGTGGGGTTTGAATCCATGGTGAGTGAGTGTTAAAATTCACAGGTCAGTATGTTACAGCACTGGTCTGTGTTAGGTCAGTGTGTTACAGCACTGGTCTGTGTTAGGTCAGTGTGTTACAGCACTGGTCTGTGTTAGGTCAGTGTGTTACAGCACTGGTCTGTGTTAGGTCAGTGTGTTACAGCACTGGTCTGTGTTAGGTCAGTGTGTTACAGCACTGGTCTGTTAGGTCAGTGTGTTACAGCACTGGTCTGAGTTAGGTCAGTGTGTTACAGCACTGGTCTGAGTTAGGTCAGTGTGTTACAGCACTGGTCTTGTTAGGTCAGTGTGTTACAGCACTGGTCTGAGTTAGGTCAGTGTGTTACAGCACTGGTCTGAGTTAGGTCAGTGTGTTACAGCACTGGTCTGAGTTAGGTCAGTGTGTTACAGCACTGGTCTGAGTTAGGTCAGTGTGTTACAGCACTGGTCTGAGTTAGGTCAGTGTGTTACAGTACTGGTCTGTGTTAGGTCAGTGTGTTACAGCACTGGTCTATGTTAGGTCAGTGTGTTACAGCACTGGTCTGAGTTAGGTCAGTGTGTTACAGCACTGGTCTGAGTTAGGTCAGTGTGTTACAGCACTGGTCTGTTAGGTCAGTGTGTTACAGTACTGGTCTGAGTTAGGTCAGTGTGTTACAGCACTGGTCTGAGTTAGGTCAGTGTGTTACAGCACTGGTCTGAGTTAGGTCAGTGTGTTACAGCACTGGTCTGAGTCAGGTCATGTGTTACAGCACTGGTCTGTAGGTCAGGTACAGTGTTGTTACAGCACCTGGTCTGAGTCAGGTCAGTGTGTTACAGCACTGGTCTGAGTCAGGTCAGTGTGTTACAGCACTGGTCTGAGTTAGGTCAATGTGTTACAGCACTGGTCTGAGTCAGGTCAGTGTGTTACAGCACTGGTCTGAGTTAGGTCCATGTGTTACAGCACTGGTCTGAGTTAGGTCAATGTGTTACAGCACTGGTCTGAGTCAGGTCAGTGTGTTACAGCACTGGTCTGAGTCAGGTCAGTGTGTTACAGCACTGGTCTGAGTTAGGTCAATGTGTTACAGCACTGGTCTGAGTCAGGTCAGTGTGTTACAGCACTGGTCTGAGTTAGGTCAATGTGTTACAGCACTGGTCTGAGTTAGGTCAATGTGTTACAGCACTGGTCTGAGTCAGGTCAGTGTGTTACAGCACTGGTCTGAGTTAGGTCAATGTGTTACAGCACTGGTCTGAGTTAGGTCAGTGTGTTACAGCACTGGTCTGAGTTAGGTCAATGTGTTACAGCACTGGTCTGAGTTAGGTCATGTGTGTTACAGCACTGGTCTGAGTTAGGTCAATGTGTTACAGCACTGGTCTGAGTCAGGTCAGTGTGTTACAGCACTGGTCTGAGTCAGGTCAGTGTGTTACAGCACTGGTCTGTGTTTTAGGACTTGCCATGGGTTTAAACCCCACCATTCCATGATATCTTCAATTAATCTGAGAGAAATTGGGTTGATATAATATAGATTAATAGTTTACACTTGACATCTGGTGGCATCGTTTCATTTCACCAAGCAAGAGGACACAAGTTGCTACTGCAAGTTGCAAGTTGGACGTTGCATCTTAACTCAATGTATGGAAGGTTTAAGAGATGCATGAGTTTCCCTGTCTCTTAATATCATGTTTATTTTTCCCCTATAATCTACCTTGTCCATAATTATCGCATTTGCTTTGTCTGCTTTCATAAAGTGAAGTCCAGGATGTTTCCTTAATTCATGGTATAACTTAACAAATCTTAGAGGACAATTGTGTTGTAGATGTCTGAGCGATGATTTGTTAAGTTATACCATGAATTAAGGAAAGTTCCTGGACTTCACCTTATGACAGCAGACAAAGCAAGTGACAGTAATTATGCACAAGGTAGATTATAGGGGGGAAATAATGTATTAGAAGACAGGGGAACTGACGTGCTCCTTAAACCCCTGGTAAACCAGTCCTAAACTTGTAGCAGGATTAGCTTGCCATGGATATTGAGTAGATTGTTAAAAACACACAGCATGTGGCTTATGGCAATTTATTGATAAAATATGTTTTCTGCCTGGAACTTTATCAGTTCTTTATCTATTTGTGAGAGTTGATAGTGTCTGGTGGATTAAAACATCTTTTTAAATAAAAGGCGATAAGCTGCATATTACCTTATTAACATACTTGTCGGTATGTAATATCACTACACAAATAACCTGCACACAGGAGAAAAACTTACGACAATGTTCTAGCCTGACTTGGTCCATTAACTAAGTCACATTAACTAGTTAATGGTCCGAGTTGGATTAAAACGTCATCGTAAGTCTCTCTCTCTCTCTCTCCTATGTGCGGGATATTTGTGTATTGTTCCAGTCATGGTATTGTGCCTTTTTGTTCCTCATAATGCCATTGGTATATATTGCGTTTAAAATTATGTCAGTATTATTTTGTACGTCAGTGAATGTTGCATATTCCAGAGACAGATTTTCCAATATCAAGCGCTGCTGAGCTGCAAGTTTTGAAAGTATAAACTTCTTAACACTAGGTTTAAATTCACAGAAATATGAATCTTCTTTCAATAAACCAGCCGTATCCCACCAAGGCGGGGTGGCCAAAAAAGAAAAACAAAAGTTTATCTTTTTAAATTTAGTAAAATATACAGAAGGGGTTAGAAATGTAAATATTACAGGTAAATCACATTCACTGTTTATAACTGTGATTAGAATTTTGGGAAAAGTTTGCCATAAATAGTTAATATTATTACCTGAGAGTACAACCTTACTTGAAGAATTTTTAAGATATCCCCTACAGTAAAACATATGTCAGCTAAGAGTGTATTTAGATAAGGTCTCAAAATGCAGTTTAGTCAGGTCATAAATATTTTTCTCACCTTTAGAAGCATTAGACAATGGACGTTAGTACTTTAGCAATTGTTAGAATTGTTATAGGCGTTGCTGGAGCTTGGAATGATGGTCAGTTCATATTTCAGTTATCACTTAATGTAGGCATCTAGGGAGTAATTTATACAGTCAGTTCTTATAAAGCTCCTCTATATAGTACAGCTTTTTGTAAATGAAATTGAAAAAGTACATTCGAAATTGAAGAGTTCATGGAAAAACTTTCGTAGTATATGTTGTTCAGTTTTCTACGTACTTTTTCAATCGAATTAACAAAAGAATCGTGAACGAGTAACTTCAAAAGAGAGCCGAGTGTACAGTGTTCAAGAATTATATTGTTGCCACGGATAGAGAGTGAGCAGTATTACTGACTTGGTTTGTCATCAGAGACCAGAGTCATGACTGGTACTCTACAAGATATATATACCTGCTGTATTGTGTCTCCTGTCAACATTACCGTCGTCATCTACAGTGATGGTACAGTAACTTAGAACAAATGGATGGTATTTCCACTAATGTTATTTAATGTAAATTATTTAATTGATGTGAAGGGAGCTAAGGAACACAGTAGTGATTTAAATTGGCTTTAATTTTGGGCTAGATTGCCTATACAAATGCTCCTTGCTTTACAACGGCTCGAACTGCGATATTTTGACTTATGATGGTGCGATAGCGATGCATATTCAGTAGTCATCAAGCTTTAATAGAATAAACTTTCATTCATTTATTTCCTTTTCAGTACCAGCATTTATCTAGTTACAGTAATTATTTGTTTATTTACTTACTCAGTTATGTTTATCATAGCATATTCACATTCGACTTGGGATATTTTTTATTTACAATGGGTTCATCGGAATGTAACCCCAACGTAAGTCAAGGGCCATATGTAGGGATTTCCATCTGAGCTGTATAAACCTACCCATCACAACTATGTATTTCTCTCTTCCTGGTAAACCATGTCCGTCATTTTGGACTCAAACATTGCGGTGAGGGAGGCTTGTGCTCTCACATGATGAACGTACTAATTGTTTTACAAATGGCAAAATTTGTGAATTTATTTTGAATATTATTATTGTAAATGAACAGGTGCTTCTTGACTTACAATGGGGTTATCTTCTGATGAGTTCATCATATGTTGGAAATATAAGTCGAACACACGATAAATAAGTAAATAAACAAATTATTACTCTAAATACCAGTATTGAAAAGTAAATGAATTTAAGTTTATCCTATCAATAAGTGTACAGTACTCTACAGTACAGAATGTGGATTCTTATTACACGATCGTAAAGTGACGAGCACCTGTACAGTGGAACCATGGTTTTTGTATGCCCTAGTCTGTATGCAGAACTATAGTTATTCTCTATAAAATGTATTTTTTTTTTTTAAATATTTCCCATAAGAAATAATGTAAATCCAATTACGTAATCTGTTCTAGACACCCAAAAGTATTAACCAAAAATACATTTTATAGAGAATAGCTGTAGTTTTACATACAGACTAGGGCATACGAAAACCCTGGTTCCACTGTATCAGTGGCCAGAGCTGCAGACTTCCAACTCCATGGGCACCAGAAAAGCCCCGTAACTCTCACACTGCTGACACTAAAATAATCCTAACCAGAATCCCTACCAAGTACCAAGATTGTGATAGGCTCCACTCTTACCCCAGACCACATTTCTACAGAACTTGGTGCTATCTCAGGTGCCTGGGGCATATAATCAAATATCACCTGACACCTTATAGGAATTTGAGAGTTGTGTAAAACTCATATTTCGGGTATCATGATCACCTCTCACAATCCCCAGTCTAAGAGTTCTGGTTAGATTTCTCTTAATAACTACACGAGGTATTGTGCTCGCTCTTACGTTTGGGAGTCTCCCAGAGATGGTGCACTCGGTTCTTCCTTCGTCTTTTCTATTTGTCATTACTTTTGTTGTTCACTATTTCACCAGTGTTAACTGCTTCCTCTGAGGTTCATTTGTAGCAGATTTGCTGTGAGGTTCACTTGTAGCAGGTTTCCTCTCAGGTTCACTTGTAGTAGGTTTCCTCTCAGGTTCACTTGTAGCAGGTTTCCTCTCAGGTTCACTTGTAGTAGGTTTCCTCTCAGGTTCACTTGTAGTAGGTTTCCTCTCAGGTTCACTTGTAGCAGGTTTCCTCTCAGGTTCCCTTGTAGTAGGTTTCCTCTCAGGTTCACTTGTAGCAGGTTTCCTCTCAGGTTCCCTTGTAGTAGGTTTCCTCTCAGGTTCACTTGTAGTAGGTTTCCTCTCAGGTTCACTTGTAGCAGGTTTCCTCTCAGGTTCCCTTGTAGTAGGTTTCCTCTCAGGTTCACTTGCAGCAGGTTTCCTCTCAGGTTCACTTGCAGCAGGTTTCCTCTCAGGTTAATTTAAAGCAGGTTTCACAGTATAAGTTTGGAAAATAGATTTATAAAGTCATTGAAGTTTATAGTGTAATTAAGCATGATCATAATTGTTACACATAGACATAATAAGAAGTTGCGAATTTTTGGTACAGTGTGAAGTGTCTGCCACAACGTCCAACACCCGATATATTGTGGTGGTACGTAGGCTTGGAATTTTTTTCTAGAATTCATTTGTCCTGTAAAATTATTTTGTGGATATTTTAGGATATTCTTAATATATGGCAGTGATAAGGTGAACTTGCGTAGCATTTACAGCCAAAAATCAAAAGTGAATTTTTTAATTGGATGTGCTTACACAGTACGTATACTGGGCAGCTCAAATCAGTGATTAGAGGACACTATTTACACAGTAAATATTTACACTCATTTTACAGGTAAATAACATCCACTATTTATAGCTGCAGAGTTTCCCGTAAATAATTATTATTTGTAACATTACCTGAGAATATTTGAGGTATAACTTCCCTACAGTATAACATGTGTCAGCTAAGATTGTATTTGGATGAGGTCTCAAAATACAATTGACTTTGCAGATAGTGTCCTCCTAGCATATATATTGGCACTCCTGCCATTTCCATACAGTGCAAAACAGAGCATGATTTCTTTCATGAAGTCAGGATTGTCAAGGTAAAATGGCTAGCAGAAGTTTCCTGATGGAGACCTACAGTGAATTGTCAGTATTGTTGGCTTCTCCACTGGAAATTCTACACGTATACTCTCGACAATGATGTTTATCGAAATTGTACATGCCCTTAGCGAAGAAGAGAAGAGCAGTAGCGTAGGAGTTGCATTTAGTGTAATATTTGGTTAGCCGATGGATGCCAGCTGTGCTGATACAGTATTCCATATCTGGCTTTTATATAACATCAGTTTTAGCCAGTGTTGTCATGGCTAACCCACCACAGATATGCATAGTGTAAACAGGGGCCCACATAAACAGGTACCTATGTAAACAGGGACCCATGTAAACAGGGGTCCATGTAAACAGGGACCCATGTAAACAAGAACCCAGGAATGGGTTACTCAATGCTTTTTAGGGATAACTAGTTTATGGAGTTAAAATTATGTACTGCAGAACAAATGTCCAAGGTTAAGTCTGTACACATTATATTATAATGCAAAACTTAGCCAACCATCTCAAGGATGCTGTGTTAATATTAGTCTATTCTTCTGGTTGTAGTAACATGAAAGCAAGTCTAAAAGTCTTACCTGGGATAAGCAAAGAATACAGGAGGGCCCCGTTCATACAGTTCTCATGCGACTGTTGTGCGATAATGGCGGTACAACGGTAGAAGCACCAGACATAACGAACAGTGATTCAGTTGAAAGCCAGAAAAATGTGGAACACCAGAGGTACTGTATATGCAGGGTCCTTCTGTATTGGCTTATTTAAGCTTCATTGGTCATGGTATAAGTGTGGTAAATGACTTCACAGTACAGGAGGCAGTGTCCAGTTATGATGGTGACATCTCTAGGGTATTTTCAGGTTTACAAAAGTGATATTGCATCCAAAGTTTTGAAGACATTTAAAGTTGGTCAGAGAAACAGCTGGGTTTATGTCTTCTATTTGTAAAATTTAAAAAAAAAAAATAGATTTTTGTTGCATGATTTTTTATTGATTAGGGTTATTTATAACCTAATACTTTGTATGTAGTTTTGTCATTTCTTGTCTTAAATAGTAGTTGAAAGTGACTGTACTTAGAAAAATTGTTATAAGTAGTAGTCTTGGTTAGTAAGTAATGTATTGCGTGTCACCCGGCAGGCTCGCATGAGAGCGCCCATCACCCATCCCCCATACTTGTAATACAGACATAAGACATGAGAAGAATGCCCCTTCTCCATTTCTCCTATTCTGTAAGACAAAATATCTCATTATGTTTGGGTACTACAGACATAAAATGAAGTCTCCACCTCCCTATTCCTCTTCCTTGCCTGCATGACATATAACTCTGTACAGTGGACCCCCGCATAACGATCACCTCCAAATGCGACCAATTATGTAAGTGTATTTATGTAAGTGCGTTTGTACGTGTATGTTTGGGGGTCTGAAATTTACTAATCTACTTCAGAATATTCCTTATGGGAAAAAATTCGGTCAGTACTGGCACCTGAACATACTACTGGAATGAAAAAAGTTCGTTAACAGGGGGTCCACTGTATATCATTTACTGCAGGCATGAGAACACGACTCGACTGCTGTGACAAGCTTGGCGGCTCCTGCGCATCCTGCCCGGGTTACACATTCCATAGTATAGATAGACTCTAAGACATGCGTAGTCAGGTCTTAAGGTTTGGTAGTATTCTTGATATCCTCATACTGTACTGTAGTTGTAACACTTTGTGGGGCGATGTTTAAGTGCAAACAAGATGAACGTGGATATAACTGGATGAACGTATACTGTAATTGTAGATATGACTTAAGACTGGATGAGTGTGGCTGTCTTGTTGAAAATGGTTTAGGTGTAATAGGAGTATAATTGACTCGCGAAATTGTAATAAATCACGGAACAGATGGGGTTTGAGTACATGTAATTGATTAGCTGGGAAACCAGTTGAACACAGCGAGACCCATTTTGTTTCAGATAAAGTTGGTTGAGAATGATAAGCCAGGTTATTATGAACATAGTTTATGTGACTAAAATTGGATTGAAATTTATCAGTAAGGCTTATAAAGTTGAGTATATTTGTTGGAGATATTGAGTGATTCAGAACTGTAATGTGCATGACTAAAATTAGGTAAGTGTAAGTTCAACATTTGTCCATTCTTGGACTGGTTGAATAAAACATGTTTAGTTCCTTAAGTAGGATTTTAAGATTGGATGGATGTGACTTGTGAATGCTGTATGTCACATTTCAGGAGTGAATCAGTGGCTGCAAAGTTTAACGATTGCTGAAAGCACGTTTGTGTGAGACTATCGTTTTCATTTTTTTTTTTTTTTTTTTTTTTTTTTTTTTTTTTTTTTTTTTTTTGCCTTGTATGTTTTCCCAGTGTATAATTTTACGATTGCAAAGGTTTTGGCTTGTGGGAGGCAGCAACACACAGGTGCCAGGTTGTGTTGTGGTTCTGTAATCATGATTGCGAGCAGTGGAGCGCTGGTTACAAAACAATTGGAGCTGCTGGTGTTGCATGTCCCATATTTTCTTGTATATTGCTGATACTTAATTTGCTTGGATTCCTGGACCAAATGCTGTTTCATTGTTACAAGTTTGCATGTGGAAAAAAACAATTACTGTATCGGTCATCTCCCGCCAAGGTAGAGGGACCCCAAAAAAGTAAATACATTCACCATCATTCAGTCTATTGCTGTCAGACCAGATGTGTGCATATCAGTCGTACCTTAACTATGAATAGCTACATTTTATAGTACTCTTTGTAGATGTTATGTTTTAATAGATCGATAGACATAACGCATACAATATTAAATAACCACTCATGAAATATATATTTTTGAGGCAGCTGTGCAATTTGCCAGATTTTTATTGTCAGAATACTTCATCCATTGACACATGGATTGGAGAGTTGAAGTATAGTTAGTTTTTCTGGGAAAAGTGACACGGTACTTAACAGTGTGCAGACGTTGATGCCAACACCCATTGGTGTTACTGCATTGTTGACGTATTAACTTAAATTACTAGGGTTCTTTTGCAGTTTGGGAAAGTGTCAAAATATATTGTTATAATCTGTCTCTTGCTGTCGCTCCTACAAGCCAACACTTGTCAACCAGTAAAGTTTTTGAGTGAGCTCTCCCTTTATTGTAAATTTGTCTTAAATGTTAGTTTGTTCCTTTTTGCTTCCAATTCCAGTTCTGAAAAGTTTACCTTCTCAAAGTTATTGAGATTTGCTCTTGACCGCTTTTTGTATTTTTGTTTTCACTAAGTAGTAGTTGGCCACTTGGCCATGACGTTATTCATGTGCCAGTGTAGCGTTGTTAGAGTTTCACATCCACGGTATGCGCTTCAGCTAGTCCAGACTCGCTAGCATCATCATTTTTTTTTACGCTTGTATGTGTGAAGGTGGTATCTCTGGCCTCACTTTCTCGTTACCATTTTCTGGTGTTCTGTTATGGCCGCACTCTTGGTAAAAAAATATCGTTATAGTTGGATTTGAGTTCCAGAAGCCCGCAGTTTTTTCTTTATTGTTCCTACTTCTCATCTGAGTTTTATTTGGCTGGTACGAAATTATGAACCTTTTCCAACTTAAATTCTCTTATGCAAAATGCTCAGAATTATTTTGGAATAATTTTAATTTATGCAAAATGCTAGCACAAAATTTTGCATGGTGTTGCGTAAGTTGTGAGAGTTTACTAGTTGAAGAGCATATTGTGTTACCAGAGACTGCTGAACTAGGGTAGGCAACACAGCTGAAGGAGTAGTGTTAGTGCAGGACCTTTAGTAGATGTTGCAGTGTAGCTCATATATTTTGGTTAATAAATATTAATATATATATATATAAATAAATGGACGTTTTTAATTATCCTACTGGTAAACTTGAGTACTGATACTGTACTTGAGTACCCTTACCTCACAAAAGTACTATACAGTGGACCCCTGCTTAACGATCACCTCCCAATGCGACCAATTATGTAAGTGCGTTTGTACGTGTATGTTTGGGGGTCTGAAATGGACTAATCTACTTCACAATATTCCTTATGGGAACAAATTCGGTCAGTACTGGCACCTGAACATACTTCTGGAATGAAAAAATATCGTTAACTGGGGGTCCACTGCACTAGAGTACATGAAACTTTATAATGTATTGTACATGAATATTCTCAAGCTAAAAAGAGAAATTTGTAATTTTGCTTCATGTTAATGTGTCTCATCTCAAGGCTCACATGTCCAGCTTGACGAGCTAAAATAACAGCTTGTAATACGTACTTATCAGTTAGTGATTTAAATGATGTGAGGAGCAGGAAGAAATTTTTTTCCAGAACTAGGACTAGTGACGATGCACCCCTTCAAAGAGGGCCCCTTGATGTGGTGAACGGGCCCATTATCTGAGGTATTAGCCCTTAAACTGTCCAAACGTAGATCTACGTTCGCTCGTGTAGTGCTCCGAACGTAGATCTACTTTTTTTACGTGCATTCAAATGGAGAAAATCAAGGTTGGAGTGCTATGCATGTAAACATAGATTTACATTTGGACAGTTTAAAGGTTATAACTCATTTCTTTTCTTGGATTACAGGGTTAGGGCCTGGGGTTAATTATCTCTGCTGAGAAAACATTCTTAACCATGTACGTACTAATCTGGTGTCAGGACCTGGGATTAATTATCTCTACTGAGAAAACATCATTAAACATAGACTAGCCTAGTGTCAGAACCTGTATTAGCCTCATGTCAGGACCTGGAGATGATTATCTCTGCTGAGAAAAATGAAGATACTTAAGTGTCCTTCTTGCCCAGAAGTAACTAGATACTGGTGAATATGAAATGAATATTATAATCACAATTTTTCAAGGGGGTGGAGTGGTAAGCCAGTGGAAGGCCTCAATCAGATGACCAAAGCTCTGGCTGTGTGTCATCATATGAGTAAGACCTGCATCAGGTAACACTTGTCCTGTTACCTGACAGATCTTAGCTAACCTAACCTAAGATACTGGTATCTAATCTTTGAGGCCCCATTACTTGTTATAGCAAGACTTTGTCACCAATACAAAGAAAGGCTGAGAGCACTTAGTTGTGGCAGGATTTCATCCCTGTTATGATGTATTTTGCTTATATTAGTTCACTGGTTGATTATGTCCTGCCACTACTTGTTCTTGTGTCACACTGCAAGCTTGCAGGCATGCAAATTTTTTGTCACATTTATATTATTATTATTCTAATCAAGGGGGAAGCGCTAAACCCGGAGGATTATACAGCACCGGGGGGGGGGGGGTTGGAAGGCATTCAGGCTTAATTTGGGGAACTGGAGTCTCATTTATAAAAAAAATCACATAATAAAAAAGCACTAAACCCACTAGGGTCATAGAGCATAAAAAAAATCACACTACTTAACTTAGTAAATAAGTTTATTTAGATACAGGTACACAAAGTACAATTATCATACATTGTTTAAATTGCCAACCAGGATAACCCAAAATAAGCGAGCTGACTATACAGCCTCTCCTCACTTAGTGATGTACTTGGAAATAAATGGTATAAAATACCGACACAATGGCAATATAAACACAAATGCAGTATAATGTGATCCTTTATTGACTACGTTTCGCCCACACAGTGGGCTTTTTCAAGTCACAAACAGAACTACCTGGGGTGGAAGGAACGCGAGTATTTATAGTCCGGCTGAGGTCAGGTGAAGAATGCTGCATCTGATGATGTACCGAGTTGGGTTGTAGAGTCTAAAAACTTGGGTAGCTTGGAAAGGAGACTGGACAAGTTTGTGAGCAGACCTTCTACAGTGTTCTTATGTGGGATAGCGATGAAGAAGTTTCTTGGCAAGTGGTTCAGCTATGTTATAGAAGCCACTATTCTGGTTGAAGTTGTCGGATATAGAAATAAGTGATGATTCCAGGATTCTTCGGTATTGGGTGTTGTCTTCTGTGGCGATAAGTCTTGAGTTTCTGTAGTTTATCAAGTGGTTGTGTGAATTACGGTGTTGTACGCAGGCATTCCTTGTGTCGTCAGACCTGCTTGCGTATTGGTGTTCTGAAATACGTGTTTGGAGGTCCCTTGATGTTTCGCCCACGTATAACTTGTTGCAGTCATTACAAGGGATTATGTATACCCCTGCAGAGGATGGAGGCTTGTCCTGCCTACTACTGGTGATGTCCTTGATGGTCGTGGTTGTGGAGGTAGATACTTGGAATGATGTTTTGGCAAAGATGTTGGAAACATGTTTGGCAATGGAGTTGGTGGGAAGGACTATGTATCTCTTCTCGGCAGTGTCTTCTCTGGGTGTGTTGAAGATGTTTAGTGCTCGCCGTCTGCAGTCTCTGATGAATTGACGAGGATAGTGGAGTTTGGAAAATACCTGTTCAATTATAGTGCATTCTTCCTCAAGGAACTCGTTGCTGCAGATTCTGAGTGCACGCAGTTCACACTTGAAGAAGAGGTCGACAACACTCTTCCTTTCCTTGATGTTCTACTCTGCAAAGCTGACCACGAACTTCGTTTTAAAGTCTATCGAAAACCCACCAACCAAAACGATCTTCTCCACTTCTACTCTCACCACGACACCAAAACCAAACGTGGTGTAATTATAGGCTTCTTCCTGCGTGCACTCAGAATCTGCAGCAACGAGTTCCTTGAGGAAGAATGCACTATAATTGAACAGGTATTTTCCAAACTCCACTATCCTCGTCAATTCATCAGAGACTGCAGACGGCGAGCACTAAACATCTTCAACACACCCAGAGAAGACACTGCCGAGAAGAGATACATAGTCCTTCCCACCAACTCCATTGCCAAACATGTTTCCAACATCTTTGCCAAAACATCATTCCAAGTATCTACCTCCACAACCACGACCATCAAGGACATCACCAGTAGTAGGCAGGACAAGCCTCCATCCTCTGCAGGGGTATACATAATCCCTTGTAATGACTGCAACAAGTTATACGTGGGCGAAACATCAAGGGACCTCCAAACACGTATTTCAGAACACCAATACGCAAGCAGGTCTGACGACACAAGGAATGCCTGCGTACAACACCGTAATTCACACAACCACTTGATAAACTACAGAAACTCAAGACTTATCGCCACAGAAGACAACACCCAATACTGAAGAATCCTGGAATCATCACTTATTTCTATATCCGACAACTTCAACCAGAATAGTGGCTTCTATAACATAGCTGAACCACTTGCCAAGAAACTTCTTCATCGCTATCCCACATAAGAACACTGTAGAAGGTCTGCTCACAAACTTGTCCAGTCTCCTTTCCAAGCTACCCAAGTTTTTAGACTCTACAACCCAACTCGGTACATCATCAGATGCAGCATTCTTCACCTGACCTCAGCCGGACTATAAATACTCGCGTTCCTTCCACCCCAGGTAGTTCTGTTTGTGACTTGAAAAAGCCCACTGTGTGGGCGAAACGTAGTCAATAAAGGATCACATTATACTGCATTTGTGTTTATATTGCCATAGTGATGTACTTGTTTACCGACGCCTCGGACTTACGACGTGCTCTCTGACCAGTATTTATACCTAAATAATGTATATTAGAGCTGATTTACTCTATTCTGTTTATTTCAATATACAGTACACTACTGTGTAAACATTTAAAAATATACCAGAAATGTTATAAATTGTGCAAAGTGACATTAAAATAATATCAAAGATGGTCGACACAAACTCACTACCATTACAGTATGCTCCTCACTTAGCGACGAATTGTTTAATGACGTGGTCTTAGGAACAGAACTCTGTCATTAAGTGAGGAGAGGCTGTACCATTATATAGACTAATATTTACCTTTTATGTGTTGACTTCTTATAATCAAAACTAAGTGCCAAATCTACAAGTCATATAGCTTATTTGTTGACTTGAGTCAAATTTTTTGCATCCACCAAAAGCGGGTTTTACTTTGTTGAAAATACGATAAAGCACACTACGACCACGATTATTAAAAAAAAAATTCAAGAGTTGTTGAGATATACTAGGTTAAGTTATCATACATGTTAGTACTTCAAGTGGGATGGTTTAGGTGAAGAACAAGCAGGTAACATGGCCACAATTTATTGATGCCTCACACTACTGTATGTTACAGCAGGTGCGGCAGAGTACTGTACACACTTCTTGGACAGCAGAGTACTGTACACACTTCTTGGACAGCAGAGTACTGTACACACTTCTTGGACAGCAGAGTACTGTACACACATCTTGGACAGCAGAGTACTGTACACACTTCTTGGACAGCAGAGTACTGTATTCACTTCTTGAACAGCAGAGTACTGTATTCACTTCTTGGACAGCAGAGTACTGTATTCACTTCTTGGACAGCAGAGTACTGTATTCACTTCTTGGACAGCAGAGTACTGTATTCACTTCTTGAACAGCAGTGTACTGTATTCACTTCTTGGACAGCAGAGTACTGTATTCACTTCTTGGACAGCAGAGTACTCTATTCACTTCTTGGACAGCAGAGTACTCTATTCACTTCTTGGACAGCAGAGTACTGTATTCACTTCTTGGACAGCAGAGTACTGTATTCACTTCTTGGACAGCAGAGTACTGTATTCACTTCTTGGACAGCAGAGTACTGTATTCACTTCTTGGACAGCAGAGTACTGTATTCACTTCTTGGACAGCAGAGTACTGTATGCACTTCTTGGACAGCAGAGTACTGTATTCACTTCTTGAACAGCAGAGTACTCTATTCACTTCTTGGACAGCAGAGTACTGTACACACTTCTTGGACAGCAGAGTACCATATTCACTTCTTGGACAGCAGAGTACTGTACACACTTCTTGGACAGCAGAGTACTGTATTCACTTCTTGGACAGCA